GCTGTACGTAATAGTTAATAAAAAATAAGAGTAATTGTTACTAAAACTACTATAAGAAATAGATAAATACATATTTTTGCTTTGTTTGTTCATGTTACTTGATATAAAAATATACAATAAATGAATAAAAGTAGTAATAACTACGATTTCCCTTACTGTGAGTGGTTTTGTAGAAAGAGCAGAAAGATACAGGAAAAGTAAGAAAGTCTATATGTAGTTATAAGTAAACAATAAGATAGAAAATGTATAAATGAAGGTGTTTTCATAAGCTGAATAAATTTATACATAAGAGTAAGTTTCTGCTATTCACAATAGTAAATACACAATACTTAAATAAAAATATAATATTTCGGTCATGTGTTATCATTTGATGCAAGGTGCGTGGTTATAATTTCGTTATATTACCTGTGACATATCTTCCAATTTATGGACCCGATGGATGTTACCGTCAATTTTAACTATGTTACAAATTACTATACTTTAATTTACCCTAAGATGACGCTTTGCACTGACGGAATAAAGATGTCTTTTGACGCATTAGTTAGTTATTACCTATATGTTACCTCTTGTCATTTCATTTATTGTTTCCTGTTTTGACCGCTCTACGCCCTTGACTTGCGAACTGGTAGTATTGTAAATTTAGAATCAATTTTATATTTTTTCTGTTGACGTTTATAAGTGTACTTGGTTACCTATGTGAATAAAGTTATTTTGAGTTTGAGTTGAGTTTGTTAACTGTGCCGGCTTTGGGATATTTTTTTTATTTTCTAAATAAGTTAGAATTATAATGGTGAAAGAATTTTTGAAATCTGTTTAGTAGTAAAGGGCCGGCAACGCGCAAGCCTCTGGCAATGTGAGTCTATGGGCGTCGGTGTACTTATCATCAGATGAGCCTCGTGCCCGTTTGCTCCCTGAAATAAAAAGAATAGTTTTCATGTATATTCCTTCATATACAAATCTTACCTTTATATTAATTATATGTAGCACTGAAATAATTTTTATACTCAGTTCTGTAGTGGTTTTATTACATACAGAAATACAAATCTTATATCTCTAATATTTGTATAGATATTTTATTCAGATTCAGAGTTGTTCAGATCAGTATGACGAATAATCTTATCAGAATTTCAAAACGGCAACTTGACCTAGGTGAATGTCGGCGTTATTTATAAACTGCTGTTTGTTCTACGTAGCTGTTTCAACACTGTTTTCTTTGTTGTACAAATGTTATTTTTAATAAATAACGGAATGCTTCAAATGTAAAATGTTAATTAATTGTATTGTGTGTGTTATGCAAATGTTTTTCTTTATTTGAAAAACATCGATACAATTCGTTGTTTTTTTTTTGAAAATAAATAATAAAAATCAGTGGTCCTACAACCTTTTTAGGTCTGGGCCTCAGATTTCTGTTTCTGTTCCATGATTTGTCAATCTAATAGGCAAGTATGTGATCAGCCTCCTAAGCCTGACACACGCCGTCTACTTTTTGGGTCTAAGGCAAGCTGGTTTCCACACGATGTTTTCCTTCACCGTTCGAGCGAATGTTAAAGAAAGAAAGTCCATTGGTGCACAGCCGGGGATAGAACCTACGACCTCAGGGATGAGAGTCGCACACTGAAGCCAACAGGCCAACACTGCTCAGTGTTTAAACAGTTGAATATTTTATTCGTTAAATAACTTAGATCGTCCCAATACAAATCCATTATGTTGTGGCTTTAGTTTAAATTCCCGCCGCGTCAGGTATTCTTATCTTTATATATATATATATAATTCTACTGTGTCTATGTCACTGAAATCCCCTTAAACTACTGGTATTGTATGCGTTTGTGTGGCGCCCTGGAATCTGGATGGTTTAGATTCACAAATCAGCCCGGCAGATGACGCTGCAGTACTTTCATACTTTGTTTAATATCCGAATCGCTTAAAATATAGTGCAGGACGTCTGTTGGGTCCGCTAGTAGCATATAAATTCTAGATTTGTAAACCAATATTGTGAATAAGTCTCTCTCTTAATACGTGCAATTTAATAAGCTAATATACTTACATGGACTAAGTATAGTATAAGTTTTAAACGTCCCGGTGGACAGAAAAACTATGTATACTACTAACTATATATACATAGTTTATAATAACACTATTGTAAACTTCTTTTTTTTGATAAAATAAATAAATGTCGACGAATTGACGAATCCAAGTTAACCGAACAAAACTTTTTCAAATATTTCTTTTGAATTTCGAATTATTTTAACTTTGAATGATCGCTAATCAATGAATGTTCAATCAATTTTCATATACACGCAATTGTTCTGTACATTCGTGACTTGTTTGAGACATGTTTGTTAATTTAAATAAAGATTGAGCCCAGGACTGTTTGACCTTACGCGAACTTCATTGTCTTAACGTCGAGTGAGGAAGGTGACTAATGGTACTTTTAAAGTTACGTTTCACGTATAAAGCGAGAAGCTCCACGTATCACCTCGACGTCCGGCGTTCCACAACTGAGCGTTTTCTAAGGCAGTTTTTGCCGCGCACCACCACTATGTGGAACCAGCTGCCTACAGATGTATTTCCGAACCAATTCGACTTAGGGTCCTTCTAGAAAAGAGCGTACCAATTCTTGAAAGGCCGGCAACGCACTTGCGATGTCTCTGATAATGTAAGTGTCTTTCACTTAACATCAGATGAGCCTCCTGCCCGTTTGCCCCGTTATATATATAAAAAGATCATATAACTATTAAATATAATGTCCTTTCCACTGGTCACTTGGAAATGTAATTACGTGACCTCGGCCCCTATAAGGCTATGAAGAAGTTCTTATTTATATGAAACTATGAATCACATCCTTCAAACAGGTATATAATATAATTCATTTATAATTTTAATTGGTTTTAAGGAATCCAATACAATTGTTATGTATTTGATTTATATCACGGGAAAGTCCTAACAATATAGGTTTGTTGAAGTATTAATGATGTTAATTAAATAAACAATTTACTAATTATATTTTGATCTTGACATTTAACACTCGCACGTGAAGGAAAACATAGCGATGAGACCGGCATAGCTTTGACACAAAAATAAAAGGCGTGTGTCACAGAAAGCTGATTCCTAAGAAAATATTATCAAGATAGTTCTAGACTCAATAGTTAATCAATTGATAAAAAATTAAGTACACATATTGAATTCGCGTTTTATTAACGGGAGTTTGTTCGCGTTTTTAATAGTGAGAATTATCATATAAATAAAAAATTGTAAAATTAAAAATATTTGCGTTCCTTAATTATAAAAACTAAAACACAACATGCAAAATGTCTGAAAGAGATAAATAATGCTGCGTTATCTGTGGGATTGTGAATACAGTAATAACCTTATATGTCCTATGGCCTTAACGATAACTCGATAACTGCAACACAAAAATAAAAATATTTAATTTTTTTAATGTATGAAATTCATATAAAAAACATCTGCCGCTCTAAGTATACAAACAAATATTTATGAGGTATTATATAACATGTATAGAAATCATAACTTTTGCAATCGGAATTGATAGTTTATTTACTAAGCCTTGCAGTTATCGCTGGCAGTGAATCGAGTCGGGCATTGTTTCGCAATCAGTTGTGAAACGCTCTTAGATGCACCGTCTCGCTCCAACGAGTGGGCGGAAGTGTACCTACTGTGTTATTTTGTTATCCTATAGATTGTTAATGTGCTGCCCGAGTTCGTAGGTTCAATCACCGGCTGTGCACCAATGGACTTTTGAATGTGCGCATTTAACATTCGCTCGAACGGTGTAGGAAAAGATCGTGAGGAAACAGTCAGGACTTAGCTATTAAATTGACAAATGATCATGAAACAAATACAGAAATCTGAGGACCTAAAAAGATTGTAGCACCACTGATATTTTTTTATTACTTCCAACCTTATAAAAACAGATATTTTCAACATTCAAAATAACTAAAATTGACTTAAGAATATAACCTATGTATGGTTCAGTAAAAATTAAATATAAAGTTCAGTGTTTGGTTGGAACCCCCAGCTTTTGGTATTCAATCTAAGCTGTTTATCGCAGAGTTTAATAAAAGCGTTCTTTTTTCAAAAATCTACGATGAGTCCTACCATATCTTTTTTTCAAGATTATCGTCGGTACTAAGGCTTACTTTCCCCTCTAGAATCGAGACTAGCGCTAGTGTAATAGAATTAGACATCAACAACATAGGTACTTAAGTATAATTGTTTTTATAATCAGCGTACAAAACTAACCTATGCCAAAATTTCTAAGAAAGACACCTGAGGTCTTAAACAGCCGTCTCGCCTTTGTTATTGTTAATTGCATTAACACGTGTTCCATTATATTTAGATTACATTGCCTGTAGGAAATTTTGGTCTCAGTTACTAAACGCGCCATCGTCACCTATCTATTATATCTATATAAATTATTGTAATTGGTTAAATTTGGTTTTTTTTCTCTTCCCTCGCTATAACGAAATCTCTCTATAGCGAAAGGAAATACTCGGTCCCTTAAAATTCGTTATAAAGAGTTATTGTAAATAATGCTTTTAGCGTCTACATTCAATTTATCGAATCTATGTACATTATAATTAAATTGTTCTGTGTCAAATATATAACAATGAAATATTATCATTTCGAAGTGTGACTTCTATATGAAAAAAAAATTATGTTATCGACATTAGTCAAACTTGTGTAATTGAAATCATTTTGCAATTACCTAATTTAAAGATAACAGTTTAATGACAAGATAAATTAATTTTAAAGTTTAGTTTACTTCAAAACTTGCTTATGTAAATGCATTATTTGCATAATGTGTCGACTGAACAAGTTAACATAACTATTTGATATTGCGATTAGAACCTATTAAAATTTGGCCATCTACTGCCAAAGTTGGTATTTGCATAGTATTCAAAACATTGAGGGCGCTTGCTGTGTTTTGTTCTCATTATAATGTAAGTGCGTTCTACTGTTTCTTGACATTTTCTTTCAATATGTCAAGTAAAGCATGTCTTACAATTTTCTTGTTAACCAAAAACTTGGCGATTAAAAATAGTAGCGGAGTTTCTTGCCAGTTCTTATCGGTACGTCCTTTAAGAAATGGTAGTAAATTGAAATGCTGATCTTCCTTTTTATATTTTATTGAGTTATTAACCGGGGCTTTGCCATTTGGTCATGATTTTATGGCGGAGTACCTTAACGACTTGCCTAAAAAGGATAAGCTGTGAGATGGAATTTCCAAAATACATCTATTAGAGGAGCGTAACATATACATAGTTTATTGCCAGTTCTTCTCTGCCGTTCTACGCCCTTGATTTTAGAACTGGCAGTAAATATAAAATGAAAAGCATTTAATGTATATTTCTTCTTTGACGTTCATACGTGTACATTGTGTTACCTATATGAATAAATAATTTTTGACTTTGAGATTTGAATTCATGTTAACTTTAGTGTATATATTTACATTTATTTTTTTCATTTCCCTGTTCACCTTTGTATCATTTTAACCTTACCATTTAAATTAAATAGAAATTATTAATTCGTGCTAGTCTTACAGATTAATCACGAATATTTTCCAATTTTCAGAAGTAACCCCCACGACGAGAGGGTTCTTAAGCTGTCATCTGATGACGCACTTCAGCTAGGCCCGCCGCCTAGGAGCTGCTACCCTCTGGTGGTTATTCTGGCACGAGATCAGAGAGACACGGCGGAGCTGAGGCCTGATGATACGGTGAGTCAAGAAAATTATCAAAACGATTTATTTGGCTATCAAGCTATCATGGTATTAATGTAGATTTTGTAAAGTAGTAGTTTTTTTAATTATTTATTGTTGTTTCGCTACGTTACCCAAGACCTAATAAGCCACAAACCACTAAGCCATATAGGCGTTTCTCTATGTACGAAAGAATAAACAAATTATAGTCATAATTATTTAAGGCAGTTTTTATCTACTAAAGTATTTCCGAACCAATTCGACTTACGTTCAAGAAAAGATCGTACCATTTCTTAAAAGGCCGGCAACGCGAGCCCTCTGGCATTGAGTGTCCATGGGCGGATATCGCTTAACATCAGCTGAGCCTCCTGCCCGTTTGCCTCCAATTCTATAAAAAAAGACTTTCTAGGACACTATTTTACAAAATCCTGTTACTATACAAAAATAAATTAATAATAAATATAGTTAAAAAAAACTAAAAAACACGCTTTTGAAGCACATCAAACTAAAAAGTGAAAAATAATTCCTAATTTAGGCTGAAAATGGTAATGAACAAAAAATACTGGTATTATTGTGAAAAAGCGTGGGTTGCTCGATAGACGAAAAATATGGCACAAAGCGTGTTTTTTAGTTTTTTTTAAACTATATTTATTTTCCACTTTTTAGTCCTAGCAGCAATACGTGTTGTATCAATTTAATCGTATTGCTTTGTGGACTTAAAAAAAATTTCATTGTTTTTTCGAGATAAACCTATGAAATTATTATATTGTCGCTGATTCTTTATAAGTGTACAAAGTTTGAATTAAATCTGTCCGTTCAATGTGGGTCAAAATCGAGTCCGAAGGAGTCGGTTACATACGATACGTGAAGCTAATATAAAGCGTGTAAAAAAAGGGATTCATTTCCAAAAATTTGGAATTACAGTCAAACCTGGGTAAGTGAGAACTGGATAAGTGAGAAAACTCTATAAGTGAGAGTAATAGCCGGGACCCGTCATTTTAAGCTCCCAAAACCTCTATTATCGAGAATCAGAAACTTCTGTAATAGAGAGTCGTTTTTCCCTCATGCACCTCCGTAAGTGAGACTGCTACTTATCTTTACCTCTATAAGTGATTCGGGCTTAATTTATATTATGTACTTTAGATGCTTTAGAGACGGTCGCACTTGTTGTGACTTGTTATTGCTGCGTACCTCTATAAGAGAGAAACGCTACCCATGTACCTGCATTAGCGAGAAACTCGATTTAGTGAGAAACCTCTATAAGCGAGAATGAGATTGTGCTCCCTTGAACTCTCGCTTATCCAGGTTTGACTGTAATTATCATTTATATATTAGTTTTAATGCTCATATAATTAGTAAGTATTTGGTAAGTTAGCGATAGTTATTAAGTATTAACGTTTGTTTGTCTGTTAAAGGGCGTAAAATTAGTCTTGTTATTTTTATAGATGTAAGCGATTATTGTAATGACTGTTAATAAACTCTTTTTTAAATAAATAGATACAATTAATTTTTTAATTAATTGAAACTGACGCAAAGGCGTTTTTCTTTTGGGTTATGGATGGTAATATCGTATGCAAATAAGGTTTCGATATAATTTTTAATCCATATATTTTTTCTATGGCTTCCTTAAACTGTGTTCACATTTTCTAGTTATTTATGGCTCGTGAATATTAAATGGATTACTAGAACGTAAGTAAGCCTTTTCTATGGAAAGCTACAAAGCCCATGGTCATGATCATAAATGTCATTGGATGTTTTAAGATATTTCTTTCTTAGCACGAAGCTAAGCTTAATCTAAAAAGATACTGTGGGAACCCGTTAGAAGATTTTCATTTAAGTATAGGAAAAAAATGGTGATGCCCACAATTTGGATCAATTCAATTAATTTTATATAGAACAGGGGGCAAACGGGCAGGAGGCTCACCCGATGTTAAGTGATACCGCCGTCCATGGACACTCAATGCCAGAGGGCTCGCGAGTGCGTTGCCGGCCTTTTAAGAATTGGTACGCTCTTTTCTTGAAGGACCCTAAGTCGAATTGGTTCGACTTAGGTTCCCTCAATACTTCAGTGGGCAGCTGGTTCCACAAAGTGGTGGTGTGCGGCAAATCTTCCCTGAATAACGCTCAGTTGTGGAACGGCGGACGTCGGGTATATGATTTTACTAATTGATTAAGTCTTCAACAAATAAGAACAAAAGACCCGTGTCCTGTTGAGTGTTGACATTTTGGAGTGTCCCTAGTCTGTGTCTAATAATTTATTTGAATGTTTCAGGTGGCCCTTGTGAGTATAGTTCACATAAAAGATGAGCAGTGCCCACTTCCGAGTGGAGTCATCGCGCAATATTTGAAACAGGCCAACGGACACTTATCGTGCTTAAAGGTAGCTTCGATTTTCTGCATTTGCGTTATATATGTCGCCACCAACTAGCTTATTTAGCCGTTCAATTAACAGTCTAGCCTTTTAACTAAACGGCGCCGTTTAATTAGCGGCCTAAAAGATATTCAGCCGTAGCGTTTGTTACAACATTTAATTAACTGGCTGGCTAATGCTTAGGGTTTCAAAATCAAATCAAAAAAATACGTTTATTCAATTTAGATGCTTCTTAGAGCATGCTTATAAATGTCAACAACGTTTACAAAATTCACGAAAGAGCAAGACTACGCCATCCGTTCGCAAAACTACCAGGAGGCCTTGTTCTGAGAAGAACGGGCAAGAAACTCAGCAAGTTTGCCCTCCCTTTACATTACAATTATTCAAAGGAAAATGTCATAAATCACAACGTCATTAAAATTACATAAGTAAAAAAAAATAAAAAATCTGTTCTGTGATTTACCACATTCACCATTACACACATATTCATAACACTTCAAAGATAACAAATCAAATTATAAGAATATAATTAGAACTATTGCCAAGCGTTTTTATCTTCCAGGTAGTCATTGACTGTGTAGTAACCTTTACACATTAAGGTTTTTTTGATGTTTCGTACGATACATTCTTTATTTGGCAGAAATAAAAAAGATGAAAAATACAAAAAAAAAATTCTTTTAAAATTTAATTCCTTGAGTCAAATTCATATTATTATTGCCACTACACTCTTCCATTGTACTTGTTGTTTTTCATAAAAGTTTGGAAAACACCATCAAAGTTGTGGTTTCGAGTTTGAGAGTGGCAGAAAGTGGAATTAAATTTAAATTAACAGTCAATAGGCTAGGTAACTAATCTAACGTCATCAATCCAAGTCAATTGCCTAGCTGTTTGATCAACTGGCTGAACATCTTTCAGGCCGCTAGTTAAACGGCACCGTTTAGTTAAAAGGCTAGGCTGTTAATTGAACGGCTAATTAAGCTAGTTGGCTGCGACATATCTATCGTTAAATTATTGAAAATATGTTTTAAATTTAAACCTGGGACCTTACTCTTTAACTTCCAAAAGTGATCCTGATTTTAATAATGAGTTTTGGTTCGGGATTTACTGATTTACAACTACCCTGAGTAGAGAGCAGTGTTGGCCAAGTGGTTTCAGCGTGAAACTCTTTTATTATATAATTTTAACTATTAATTATTTTATAAAATTCCAGCAATTGTATGTGTCCGGTGAGATGGCAGACGTGGACGAGGGCTATCGGGCCAAGGGCGAAGCCTTGTGCTGCGTATGCGCAGCCGCCCCTTTATCTCGCGCACTGTTACCATGCCGACATGCCTGCTTATGTGCGGGATGTTTACGTAAGTTTTTATATTATACAATTTAGCCAGGAATAGAACCCAGCCCCCCCCCAGGTATCGTCTTAGTTAGTTTTCTTTACAAAATATTTTAAATTTAGTCATTAAAAAAAGAACTGATAACGAAACAAATAATAATTAATAACTATTAACTATATATTACCTTCTAATAATGTCCTCTGATCTTATAAGGCTATGATCCCAGATCACATTTATTCAACTCACGCGCATCATTAGTATTCAATCCGTAAATCAATAGGAGTTATAGTATAGTGGTCTGTAGTGGTTTGTATGCGGCGAGTGTTGGATGTCTGTGCAAGGTTGCGGTCATGAGGTTACGTCAGCTTATTATTGCCTCGCAATTTCATTATAAAAATAAAGAAAAGGTAGAGACTTTTAAAATAAATAATTTTAATGTCTTCTACTTATTAAAATTATTTTCTAAATACCCTCACTAAACTTTTTGCGCTACCCCCACTAGCAAAGGCAATTCAATAAAATTATTTTGAGTTACCAATTTATGGACTTTGGCCTACTGATATATATTTTTTAAAGATTAACGTTGGAACTAGATTTTAGTTATACCTACATACTTAGCGGTAATTTGCATTCGAACATTCAAAAACACATTTAAAACTCTAAAAGCCCTAAAAAAAGTCGAAAGATGACTCCCGTATCTCAAAATCCATGACGTTTTTGACATACCTTAAACTAGATAATCCAGACATTAATTGTATGATGCATTTTTTTCTCGATATACTCCCCTGCCATTGTGTCCAGGGACTTTTTCCATCTCTTATATTTTTACTAATAATATACATTTGTTACGCGTATCGCAGGGCTGGCAAAATGCCACGGGCCCCCGACCCAAGAGATATTATGTTCTATGGATGAATGTGAAGTCTCCAAGACGCATTGGGCTAGCGTGGGGACTGCAGACCATTCCCTCTCGCCTAACAGAGGAGAACTATGGCTATTGGGACATATACAACGTGTAATTGAGTACGACTGAAAATCTCGCAGTTTATTAAAATGAAACTGAGTAGGGACGATTTTTACTGATAGGGCCCCATCAAAAGAATTTGCCACGGGCCCCAGATGGTATAGTTACGCCACTGCGCCCCGGCTACATCGGTAATATTATAATATTCATGGACGAGATGGGGCGCAATTGCTTAGGAGACCCGTTCTTTTATTTTTGTTTGCCTCCTTCAAATATTGAATAATTTTCGCGGAACCGTTTCAGGCAAGGCTTTGCATGATCGAAGCGATAGATGTAAAGTATATTACACTAGGTCACTCGGTGGTCGTTAGCTTCAAGCAATGACATTGATTTTATTCTAATCACGAATGTGCATTGAAAAAGGATGAAGATTTATTGTCAATGCTTTCCTTGAGGTTACGCCTAATATGGCGTGGTCTTTGCAAAAGATTTTTTATTTATTACTACAGACAGGGTCCCACTTTGATGACATTAATTTTAAATGAATGTTGAGAGAATAATGATAAGCTATAAAAAATATAATACTATGGACTGCAAAGCGCACCAATGCACCTATCTACCATACGCGAACAGCGAATTATATCATATTTCGGCCATACTATGCGCAGACGTGACGAGAACTTGGAGACTTTTTTTTACTTTTCATTTTCTGATAGTAATTGCAACCATATTTTTCAAAATTATTTTACGTCTTAAATGAAATTATGTAATAAATTGGAAAAAAATGGTTGCCAGCTCTCGGTCAGTAGAGTTCTTTACACCTGAGTAAACATGTATAGCCTCGTAACAAGGTATGCGTATTGCTCTGTCTTGCTTGAATCTTATCTTGTCTGCTTAAGTCCATAGAAACAGAAATAAAATAAAAATGTTTTTATTTATTGTTTGGTAATGGAGAAAGCGCTTTTCAGTTGACTGAACTATATGTAAAATGTACATTGTACATAGCGAAAATAAATTTAAATGATTTTGAAAAAAAAATACGTTTTATTTGGTGAATAATTTGAGGAGGCAATTCCTTTGTTGCACCGAGGCCTCTAGACGTATAAACATTGGGGATACGAAAAGTAAATTATAACAATGCATTAATTTACCTCAAGTTTTGGGCATTGTCAAATGTGTCAAACTTCATAGACAAAGTGGTTTGAATAGACAAGCGACTCTTCTATAGTACAACAGAAGATATATATAATGTCTATGACGCTGATTCAGATTATTAAAAATATTTAAAACAGTTATTTTTTTTTACAGCGAAGCTAGACAAATGTCCAATCTGTCGCAGCATGATCACGAGTTACTTTTGCATCAGAAACGAAGAGGAACCGCGATCAGACAAACAACAGTATCCCATTAATAGGCGACTTCTGAATCTATTTCATTATCACTAGCCTTATACAATATTTGAGCATAGATAATAAAAATAAATAAGGGTCTTGGCTCGAAACAGAATTCGACCTAAGGGGCCGTTCAAGTATTACGTAAACATTATAGGGGGGAGGGGGTATTTGATTTTCTTATTTGGTGATTACGTTAACAGTAATTATTTACTTTTTACACATATTACCCACACATTTTCTATGCTTGTAAACGAGATGCATTTCCGAGGATTCGTACAAAAATTAATACGTTTATGTACTATTATTTTGCTGCCAAGAGGAGGGTGGGTGGGGGGCGATAAATTGCAGTAAATCTGCTTAATAAACTAATACTTGAACCGCCCCTAATTGACGTATTTGGTGGATCCACCAATTTGATTATTGTATTTTTTTAATGTATACATTCTGATTACTCTAAAGGTTTGCGATAAAAAAGAAATTTATCGAAAATGTCATGTGTCAAAAGAGCTAGAGATGGTAACATACGATGCGCTAATCACTTTTCAAAATTAAATGGCTGACTATATGCGTCATTTTTTTTGGAAATTTACTTTAGTAATATTCTCATCGAGACGTGTAAGTAAATCAACTAATATTAAGTCACATAAACTAACATTCAGAAAGTGTCAATTGTCATCTGTCAAAGTGACATTTGATTGTTCATTTTATTCTTTTTAAGTGCGTTTTACCTGATTTGTCGTCAAGCATTTACTTAAACGTAATTCGATGACAGTTTACTCGAAGAAAATGACAGACCATGCGCCATTAATGGGCTGTGCTTTTGGGTGACTTAGCGCATGAACTTTCGCTTTTTATCCATCTCTTAAAATTTGTAAAATGTGTATAAAGCCTAATATTATCTCCATACAAGATTAAATGTTAAGGTCTCGAAAACGACTCGTTAGTTTAACTGTGAGTGAAAAATCCGTATTTTACGAATGAATTTAACGTCAGCCACATTGTGTAGACATATATTTTTTTTAATATTGCGTAAAATGAATTATAGCGCCATCTACCGTGATAATTTTTTACCTTTGCTTTCCTTTATCCTATAATTGTCTAAATTTAATGTGATGTAGTATAGATATTCAAAAGACAATGTTTGCTTGTGATATTTTGCGTGAATTTATTTGTACAAATGTTTATTTATTAGATTTTAATTCTTAATTCTTTTTGGTAGCTCCAAACTTCGAGGTCACTGTGAAGCTGTTTTAAGTTCTTTTTGGACTATCCAGTAACCCCTTTTTGGGGCATGGGTCAGATATTTTGTGTCAACGGACCTGTTTAAGAACTTCTGTGCCTGTAATCCTCAACCCGTAAATGGTACAATTTTGGTATATCCCATTGAAAACAATAAATTTTCACGTCTAAGTTTGGCGATACTTTGTGTTCAAAATGTCTCACACACAAAAAATATTTGTTTACGTGCTGTCAAAAGATAGCATTTCGAAAATTAATTTATTAACTATTTTGTGTATTAAGACATGAAGTTAATTTCCTATTTTCTCCTAAAATAAGAGTGGGTGCAAAGAATGAAACTGTGATAAATTAATGCTTTGTGAATTTGCTTTGTATGTGTACATATAACATATATTATTACCATAAGTCGCTTACTAATATAATATAGACCACTGCTCATATAACTTTAGACTCGCTTAGACGTGTGCTGTCCACCACTGGCGCCTTAAAACTGTCATTTTATTCGTTAATTAAGAAATTAAGTTTCATATCTACAAATTATTTTATTTAAATTTTTGTTCGTTGACATTACAATAATCTTACAAACTGTTTGAAATAAATAAATTCATTTATAGGAACACCTGAACGAAGTCACGGGCGTTAGCTAGTAATTAATTTATTATAACAAGTGCTATATACATATGTCAGAAACTTAAGGCGCTTCTGGTGTGTTAAAAACAGCTAATAGTTTCACTTTATCTCATACTTTTTTTAACACTACCCTCTTAAAAACCTAATTTATCTAGCTCTGATCTGTCTACATAATAGACAGAAGACAAATATACTTTAGTTATCTGAGTAATAATTTTTAAAAAGAGGGTGCCTCGTAAGAAATTGTCATTTCCGTGACTTCTTGATTGTAATAAAATGTAAATGAAGTCTTCCAATAAACAAAATCACTAAGTCTCACGAATCAGCAATAATTCCCGAAATACACCAAATTGTCTCAACTCATACATTGCAAAATTCATCAATTAGTATATAAAGCCTGGCAGAGGCTAATAAGTCAACAAATGTAGATGGTATATTTTCAAAATGTGTAAATAAATAAGATTGCCAAAGTTATTGTTGTTTTTATTACCAATAAAAACCATAGACAATCCTTTTTTTTTTTTTTTTAATTTATTTATTAGCCGGATACAAAGTCCATTGGCACAATAGACAATCCTATGCATTCTGTGTGACCAGTAAGTACAATAAAATAGGATCAATTTTGATATCTTGAGTGGGATATGTATAGAAATCCTATTTGATTATTATTAAGCAGTGTTAGCCTAATGGCTTTCAGCCTAATGACTATGTGCGCATTTAACATTCGTTCGAATGGTGAAGGAAAACATTATGAGGAAAGCAACTTGGCTTAGACCCAAACAGTACGAGATCCGACCGCGTGATTTATACGTTCATATGTTTGATTAATAAAATATAATTTTTATCGATATTTATAACTAAACCAATGCAGATCCGCAAAGGTGGCCATCCAAATTTGGCCGCAATTAATTTTAATTAAAATGTAATTAATTATTTATTTTTGAACAATTACGTTCACTTGTAATTGTTAAAAAATATATTTCATTAGAAAGAAATATACCTGAGATACCGAGAAAGTTGAAGGTGCCATCCCTCACTTGGCCGCAACCTAATGTCAGCCAGGTGTAAACAGGTATAATTTCGTTAAATATATACGTTCATAATGTATTATCATGTTATACATACCAAATTGAAGATTAATTCTTTCCCTACATGATGAGATATAGGTGCCTATGCAAAAATGCCCGCAAATAGTGACTGCCAACGATTAAAGATAAATAAAAGCGAGAGAAACTTAAGATAAACACCCCATGTCGAATAAAGATAGAGCATCCCAGCTGCTTGTCGTTTTTATGCTACTGCGCATGCGTCCATAGGCAAGGTGCTCAACTAAATACCGTACTGAATATTGCAATCATATGTTTTTGACAGTCTTATGCGCCACGTTGTTTTTTTTCAAGTCCAAAATTATAAAACTTTGTTAATATTAATATTGATATATTTCATTCTTAACGTTATTAAAACGTAAGAATAAAATGAAGAAGTGTTTTTTGTTGTGTAATGAAAAGCAAGAAGTGCTTAACTTTAGTGATGTATCATTTAAAAAGTGTTTTTTAATGATATTGTTTCGACGTCACAAAAATTTTATGTATCATAACCTAAAACTTAATGTGGAATCAACAAATGAATTTGGTTATCACATGAATTGTTTAAAAAAAGTTATTACTGTAAAAAGTAAATACAAGGAAGAATTTGAAGAATTGTGTAAAACTCAAAATGTAAGTACAATATTTTGGAAATATCGTACTCAAGAACGAAGAACCTGAATTAGCATGCCTACATGAGGAAGCTGATACCAGGATTATTTTTCACATCAGTAAAATACATGACGGTGCAAAAATTTTGGTTAAGGCAACTGACACTGACATCTTAATAATATTATTAGGAAATATACATAAATTTGCCAACTTACAAATTTGGTTGGCAAACAGTACTTCAAAAAAAACTACCAATCAAGATCAAGCTTGCATTAACTGCACAAAATTATCAGTGGAATTAGGTCCGACCTTATGTCTTGCACTACCAGCATTCCACGCGTTTACTGGTTGCGACTATACAGCAGCATTTTTTAACAAAGGAAAAGTCCGCCCTTTCAAGATATTTTGTAAACACCAGAACATTCAAGAGACATTTGCATCATTAAACAATCCGGAGGATATTCTTGATGATAACAAAATGATAGTAGTTCAGGAGTTTATAGCTCTAATGTATGGGATTAAAAATTGTCAAAATGTAAACGCTGCAAGACTTTTAATGTTTAATAAAATGTATGCCATGACTACAATTAATGACAAATTTATGAAAAAACTTAAAGGTTTCAATTCAAGCACTATTCCACCATGCTTGAAATCCTTGCAACAAAAATTATTGCGTACGATCTTCGTTAATTCAATGTGGCAAAATGCCACTAATCCAGATTGCATCAGATTTAAACCTGAAAATAATGGTTGGATTTTAGATGAAACTTTAAAACCAACATGGTTCATTGGAGATTCAATGCCACAGCAAGTAGAAGATGTTATTTGTGATTTAATTGAACAATCTTCAGAAGATACAAACGATAAAGATTCTGACGTTTCAACATAATATGAGAGTGACAGTTCTGATGATTCAAGTGACGATAGTACGTAAATGAAAATTTTTTCGTTACAAGTACTCCGATATGTATTGATAATTATTAAATAAAATTTATATTAATCAGATCCCTGATTAAAGAACCGAATTAAAAGCAATGGAAACAGAATTCAACAGAATTAAAAAATCAATTCTGTTTAATTCTGTTACCATTGTTTTTAATTCAGTTCTTTAATCAAGGATTCAAGGAAAATAAACGAAACTTTATATTGATGAAAATAAAAATAGAAAAAACATTTGTGTATGAAGATAAATTTTAATATAGATTCAAATTAACGTCTTACAGTTCAAAGTTATTGTTTGAGTTGGATATAATTAAAAAAAAAATTAAAAACACTGGTTTGGATAGTAATTTTTATGAAGACCGAAAATAAACGAAACTTAATATTGTTAAAAATTGTAATAAAACAAAATTTATTTAAAAGATAAATTTTATATTTAAAATGACGTTTCACAGTTAAAAAATATTGTTTTAGTTGAATATAATTAAAAAAATATTGAAAACACTAGTTTGGTAGATTAATTATTATGACATATTATTTTTACTGCTCAATTTTTGGAGTATTTTAAACTCCAAGCAAATACGCGAGCTACTAGTTGAGCACCTTATCTATGGACGCATGCGCAGTAGCATAAAAACGACAAGCAGCTGGGATGCTCTATCTTTATTCGACATGGGGTGTTTATCTTAAGTTTCTCTCGCTTTTATTTATCTTTAATCGTTGGCAGTCACTATTTGCGGGCATTTTTGCATAGGCACCTATATCTCATCATGTAGGGAAAGAATTAATCTTCAATTTGGTATGTATAACATGATAATACATTATGAACGTATATATTTAACGAAATTATACCTGTTTACACCTGGCTGACATTAGGTTGCGGCCAAGTGAGGGGATGGCACCTTCAACTTTCTCGGTATCTCAGGTATATTTCTTTCTAATGAAATATATTTTTTAACAATTACAAGTGAACGTAATTGTTCAAAAATAAATAATTAATTACATTTTAATTAAAATTAATTGCGGCCAAATTTGGATGGCCACCTTTGCGGATCTGCATTGGTTTAGTTATAAATAACGATAAAAATTATATTTTATTAATCAAACATATGAACGTATAAATCACGCGGTCGGATCTTAGACCCAAACAGTCGACGGCGTGTGTCGGAGGAGGAATTATGTAACAGATATATAAATCTGAGGCCCAGATTATCAAAAAATCCGTGCTACAACCTTTATAAAGTATGTTCATCTGTAGCTCTAAAGAATAATTTTAAAATAAGGCATTTAATATAAAGTCAATTATAATATATTATTAAGATAAAAAACATATCTTGTATATTGATATGAACATATTAGGTGTCATAAAGATCATGTATGGTTTGTATATTACAGTAGTATTTAAAGAATATCCTAAATAAATAGTACACACAGTACAGTAGTAATAGTAGTAAAGATTATTGTATTAAAATAAAATACATTTTGATTTAAATCAAAAGACCTTTATTACAAGAAACGTAAAAGAACGTAACCTTCGTTTCAACCTGTTGACATCCGCTGTTGGATATAGGCCTCTCCCCTAAATTTCCAGTAGTTCCCCGCTTATCCCTTTTCCTCTTTTATCCTATCAGCGTACAACTGCGAGTTTTTGACAGCTGAATACAGACTAAACAACAAATGTAGAGCCTGTAATCTGTCATTGAGCGTGTCTCCCGCTATTGGAATGTCGAATATTGCACAGACTATATCAACGTATTGTGACAGTGAGCAGTCAAGACTCGCCGGCGGGAAACCAACTTCGTTCAATGTTTCCTCCATAGCGTCGGGCCACTCTTCCATTAGGCTGTCAATATCCGGCATTTTTCTGAAAAATAAGTTTAAAAGATAGTTTTATGTATATCTCTGTTCTAATCTCAAGTTTTACAAAAATTACTATTTATATTTTCATTAATTTAAGTTAATTAAAATATATATATATATAGAAGATCGCTATTATTTTATTTCAGTGTCCCAACAGAGTCACTTATTAAGAGGTGTTAAGCATATTTAGTTATCAGCTAAGATGAGTAGTAAAACTTACTACGACATAAAATAAAAGAGGTGTTTCGCTATCGCGTCTTAACTTTCGTTAATAATTAGACATAACATAGACAATGACATAACATTTATTACTAACGAAACACACATAATAATAATCAAAAAATAAAAAAATATGGAAAGAAAAAAATCTTCATCTTAAAAGAAGAAAAAAAGAATGTAATGAATTTGTGATTACTTATTATTATTTTACAAATTTATTATTCAAATCACGTTTATTTTTAATTAATGCCATTGTCATTATATTAAATGAATAACGTCAAGTCAAATTAGTGTAAAACCGTTAATAGGAATGGTTAATTTCGAAATGACTATTCAATGGTCGATAATAATAATGACTCCATAGTCATTATTATTATTAAACGTTATTTATCATAATTTTAAATATTAAATCAATGACTATAAATATTAAAGTAATCTTTGACACTCGTTCCTATGACTGCCGTTCGACTCTGTGGTCGATTCGGGTTCGGTCGTGGAACGAGTACACGAAATGTCACGAAACTGGAATTACAAATGCTGGTTGCTTAAATACAGGAACTGGTTGGTGTGGCCCTCAGTTCGATTGAGCGGTCTAACTAAGCAGAAGCCTTTAAACAGTAGACTCTGAATGTCGATATTAAATGGCTGATGCCAACAAACCAATCTATGACAATAAGGAGACTTATTTGTATAATATAAATAGTCGAATATTGAGGAATCATAACAAGAAGAAGGAAAAGAAAAAAAAAAAAAGAAGAAGAGATCTTTAAAGAAGGCGATCAGTGAGCCTTGACATGAAACATGAGCATGTGTCATCATGCTGTCTTTAAGGACTGACCGTTTTTTTTGCGATATATTCCTTCATTATTGCGTTCCTAGATAGAAAATTAATTGGTCCACGACCAGGTTTGAAGGCACGATATCAGGGCTGCGAGTCCACACTCACCTAACATTTCTGAATTATAATTTAGTTATAATAAAGTAGCACTAGACGCAATTTGATGAATCTTAGGAAAGCGCCATCTAGTTGACTACCTACAAAACAAATGTTTATTTTGTTTGAAATGCGAAGTTATTGGCTTACGAAGTATAACTGACGGTGGGGGCCGGTTTCGATATATGCAACTCGCTGACATCTTTTATCCATCTCTCTATCGCCTTGGGATTGCTTTCGGCATTCTCGATTTTCTTCGTTAACTATAAAAATTTAAACATGAATATATTATTTTAGGGCAAATAATATATATTATATACCCTAAATCTTAATCTAACAGAGCGTACCAATTCTTAAAAGTCTGGCAACACACTTGCTAGCATTCTGGTACTGAGCGGGTAATATCACTTACTATCAGTTCCTGGCCGTTTACCCACGTTTTATAAAAATAAAAAATTATTTATTGAAAAATAAATAATTATTTTCGAAACAGCAAGGTGATCAGCCTACTGTGCCTACCAACCCGCCGGAAACCAAACAAGGATCTTGTACTATGCCAATATCGTTAACCATTTCGCCACGGAGCCCGTAATTATATTATTATAGTAAAAAGTTATGTTTCCTTCAGTCGGAATTATCAGAAAATGACGATTTCCTTTGCATGTAGGTCTCGTATATTACAAAAAAATAGACATAATTATTCTCTCAAACAAATTTTTAATTTTACCCCTTTATCTTACCATTTAAACTCATTTATTTATTTACACTTCACTACATTTATAGAAAAACAAATAACAAGCGATCTCTTCCAGGCAACCCTAGTAAGGAATAAAACTTAGCGATGCAATACAAACAAATAAGAAATACAAGAATTACAAGTCACGCTTGAGCAGGATAGGCTATGGTTAAGAAATATTTATGTAGAAGTTTTAAAAAATGTTAGGGAGGTAGCCAATCGTATGGAGTGGGGCAGCCTATTCCACAACTTAATGGTGGAGATCCTAAACGAATTGCCTAAGAAGGATAAGCTGTGAGATGTAATTTCCAAAAAGCATCTATTAGAGGAGCGTAACATAGTTATAAGGACCTGAAAATTTGAATTCATTTTTAAGGATAATAGCCAGCCGCTTCCGAACTTCGTTTCGCCTTACTATGATTTTTTTTCTTAGGCCACATTTAAGTAGCTACATACCAACATATGGTATATTTTACTCTGCTACCCGTAGACACTTCGCTTTTCCGGAATAAAATGTAAGTACTAAATAAAACTAAATCTTTCTCTCCATGAAAACCTTCCTCAGAGTTCAAGGTAAATAAAAAATGTCTAATTAATCCAGGCGTCTTCGTGTTTTGCGCTTAGCAACAAATTATGCGATTCATTTTTATTTATATAGATAGATTAAATTAACTCACAAGATTGGATTTCGCACTGCTAGTTTTAGAAATGGCTCTAAGTTGGAGATGCAACAACGCCGAGTCACTTTGTTCAGCCGCTGGTTCGTCCAATATTGTTAAACCTTAAACATCAAGCAATAGTAAAAATTTCGCACGTGAGGAGCTTATGCCTTATAGTATTTTATAAGTACAACTTGTAGCAAATCCTTAACATAAATAGGGACATAGACTTATAAAAATATTCACGACGAAATCTACTTAGTACTAGACAGGCAGTACAATGTCTGTAATGTCTTTTAATTATAAATAAATTATAATGACCGGCAACGCATCCTTTAAACACGGCTGAGATAACTGCCATTTTTGGGCGTCCTGTAGGATTCCCCCCTCCTATCCGATAAAAAAACTTGGTTTTCTATTGTTTTTCTTGTATACTTGAAAATAATGTGGTGAACGTTACTATATATAATACCATTGTTATAATTTATCATTAAAAAAAAATATTTTTTATAAAAAAATATGAAAAGCACCAGATATTGTTGTTTTAAAATTTAAATTTTGTTTTTAAATTTCAGTTTTCTTTCATTATTTTTTACATTTTTGTCTATTAATTTCCTTACTTATGTTTTCTGTTTCATAAATATTGTTTATCTATGTTATCTGTTTTGGCTTTGTATATTGTCAAAGTGTTTTGTTTTACAATACGTATGTTAGCTGTAAGATTATTAATAAAACAAAAATTTAAAAAATTGTTTCGTCTTACTGGGAGACGGAGACATATATGCATCCGATCCTTGTTCACTTATAGCCTACTTTACCACCTAAAAAACAATTATTACTTCGCCGGAAATCGAACTGAGCCACGGGATAAACAAGCTGAAGTCATTGCTCTATACAATGTTAAATATTTATGCACTAATTTTAACGCGATAAGATTGCCAACGATCTGCGTCGGATATATCTGTATGTGGGTCAGAGTCCGCAATTCACGAGCGTCATTAGATTTATAATTTGCATTTTGACATTAAATTTTTGTCGGAATTATTGATATTAAACTTGAGATTTATTTACGCTTTTTAGTATAAAAAATATTTTTGGTAAAATATTGTTATACCTACAGCTGTACGACATGTTATTATTAAATTGGGTTAGATTTGATTTGAATATTGCTCTGTCTTGTTCATTTCTCGCTTCCTCTCAAAGTGGCGAAGACTACTTCAAGCCCTTAATTATCGTGGTGAGCCTGCCCGGTAGCTTTGAGATAATCCCCCCACCTCGAACCTTTGATCCTACCCGTAGGGCTCCGTCTGTTACCTTAGGTCTCTTGGTGCAGACATCCCGTACTTATTTATATATTCACTATTTATGTGTTAGGGTACGTCTGTAGGGCTTAGGAATCCGTAGAGTTGTTAGGTTCTTACATCTCACCCTCTCATCTATTTAGTCATCTAGTGCAGCTTGCTCATACATACATTACATATACTATTCAGATACTCCCGACATTGATTACATATAAATTTTAAACACACTTTTCACAGTCCACTAACTAGCAAGCTGTACAATACCTTTTAATCCAGCAAAAGTACATTTTACTTGAAATGTAGTCTGGATTCGACATAATAGAATTCAGAGAAAATCTACACACGAAAAATAAAGATAAAGTAAATTTTTTTTATCAAAAAAACAATAATATTTTTGGTACGCAACCTAACCAGCCAACCGAATGTCCACGGACGGAGGTGATATGCTTCAACGTACACAAAGTTACACAAGGGATCGTTAACCTCCTCATTCGGTTATTATTTGGAGTTCGACAGCCGTAAAACGAAGCCATGATTTTGAACTACAAAACATACCTAAATTATCAATCATGTTAAGGGCGCGTTCAGCAAGGGGCTCAGCTCTTAGACCGCATACGGGCGAGGAGACTTTTATGAACGCATCCGTGTCGCCAACACCTGGGACATATTCCGGTATGAAGGGCTGGAGCTTGAAGTCTATATCTATCTTCTGGGGCGTGTATCTGTAATTTTAAAATTATTATAAGTCGGTGAGCCTTTCAACTAATATATAAAAAACTTTATATAACAAATAAAAAATCAATTTCGACTAATAAAGTTCTCAGTTCATTTAAAGTCAACATCAGTTTGATTAAAATGTGGAGAAAAGAAGGATTTTGTAGGCTCCGCAAGCGTGATGCATGTCTAGTGGCGCTACATGAGTCGAAAACATTTTTCGTGATACGCAAGAAGTAGCCTAACCGATTAGCTAGCTATTAGATTAACAAATGATCATGAAACATATAAAGAAATCTGAGGCCCAGACCTTAAAAGGTTGTAGCGCCATTTAATTTATTTTATTTTTACCTTTAGATAGTGTGATGCCTGATCAAGGATTGAATGTATAAATATTATAACCATGACGGTTTTATATAAAGTGACAAAAATATAACAATTCGTCGACTTCGACGTCCGTCTTTCCACAACAGAGCGTTTTTCAAGGCAGTTTTTGCCGCGCACCATCACTATGTGGAACCAGCTGCCCACTGAAGTATTTCTGAACCAATTCGACCTAGGGTCCTTGAAGAAAAGAGCGTACCAATTCTTGAAAGGCCGGCAACGCACTTGCGAGCCTTCTGGCAATGTTAGTCCGTGTAGTGTCAATGTTACGCCGTCCATGGGCGGCGGTATTACTTAACATCAGGTGAGCCTACTGCCCGTTTGCCTCCTATTAAATAAGGCGGAAGTCAAAACAAATTAGACCAACCAATTAACTGATAACAGTGTATAGAAATCTCGAAAGTCTGTGACTCTAATTAAAATAAAAACTGTTTCCCAAATAAAGATAAAGTTACATCTCACTTTCACTTCAATGTGTACTTTCATTGTATATCATGTGACTAAAGTCTAAACCCACAATGACCACATTGTGAAGACAATCGTATTATCTTTAACCAAATATTATTACAAGATCAAGGTTTCGTTTTCATTTGTAAGATATATATCTTATTTCCAGTCTAATTGCAGTCTTTTACTAAAGTACTCTTTTATCTCTTTCTGTCAAATTGTGCTTACGTTGTGATAAAAAGAGACAGATAAATACTTGAGGATTTAGTCTTTATGGAGAATAAACTTCAAAATGTGCTTACAAGTATAACATAACATCTTTTTTCAAATGGTCTTGATAAAAGTCAAAATCATTTATTCATATAGGTAACACAATGTATAGGTATGTTAACTAAAGCTGGCGGCTTCAACACATTTACACTTTGTGCTTGTGTAGTGTCTGTGAATAAGCGCGAGACGTGATGTCAAACTGAAATACAATCATAAATACATCATGAATAGACTGTCCGTCGTGTATGAGTGGACTAAAATGTATAGCATGGCAAAAAAATCATATTTTGAAACATACTGTATGTGAAATTGCATTAGTGTGAGTACTGTGAACCCGCCAGCTTTCGATAACCGACCTATACACTTATGAACGTCAAAAAAGAAATATACATTAAATGCTTCTAATTTTACATTTACTGCCAGTTCTCAAATCAATGTAGAACGGAAGAGAAGAACTGGCTGAACTCTCCGGCACTCTTTTTAACCGCTAAGTTTTTTGTTTTACACAATGTTTGTAAGCTGCAACCATTACACCATGTTCGTGACATCTTAAGTAATAAATAATAATAAAATAAATTAAAAACAAAGATGTGCCCCCTAAAAGAGTTATTAACATAAGAGCGTATCACATACCACATATATACTAGCTGTACCTCCCGCTTTCACTGTTAATTTGCATGTAATGTAAAGTTATGAAGCCTTTTCTCGATTTTTTATTGGAACGAGAGATAAGCGCGTTCAACTAAAACGTGCTAAATAATAAGTGAATCTTTTTGATCATAATTTTGTTCGTGGTAAATGTCTCACACTAGAATCAATTAGACCAATTGCATAAAAATAATAGGCTTAAAAATTTGCTATTTGACACGATTTAAAAAATCATTTCTGATTACTTTTTATTAGTGACACAAATTATAATTTTTAATTCTTTAAAAAATTTAATGAAAGATTCTTAATTTCCCAACCCTCGAAGCACGATGGTACCTACGACGTTCCATGCTTTTGAACACCTGAACACCTAAACAAATGTTTAGTTTTTTATGTGTAACTTCAGGGCCGGATTTAGTGGCCCCGGGGCAACAAATGAGTTGAGGCCCCCTGGCCCCAAATTATTTTCAAAATAAAATGAACAATTTTTTCAGTCGTATTTTTCAATCAGTAATTTATTGTGAAACAAAGTAGATTCTTTAAGTATTTATCAAACATAAAAATAAATCAAAAGATAGGTGTGTACTAGTCGGAATTTAAAGAAAAACACAAACACATATTTCGATCAAAATGGTCTCCGACGAAATAATACTCCAAGAATAGTATTAGGCTTAGACAGGCGAAGATATTGTTTACTAGCATGGTACGTCATCGTCGATTCAACTAATCTGTGACCATTTTGTGTCACGTGACAGACGTTTTAAATCAATATTTTTAATTATCAACTAGTTATTTTACTCTATAACCCATTTAAAGCCATATTTAAACAGATTTCTAGTACCTAACTAATAACTCTTTATATTTCATACTCTCAACTAGCGTTTATATGTGACTGCTACTTAAACTCAACCCAAGTCAAAGTGTGCGTAGCAAAATGCGTTCTAATACAATAAAATTTTACTTACTTCATGATATATTGAAAGATGTTCTCCATTTCAGCTGGCACTTTCAGATCAGCAAACTGTTTGGGATCATAGGCCCCTTCAGCTGGTATAACGACTCCTCGCTTTTTGCCGCTAGTTGGCAGCACTGGGTCGGGCCGATTTAACACTGCCTCTAAATCCGTACTATCCGATTCTGAAATTTAAAGTACGACTGAGGCTTTCTTGAAAAGGTCTCGTACCTACTAAATCTGAAAGAACACCACTATTCACTCCGAATACCAAGTTTCATTTGATCTATAAAAAAAAATCAGCTGATTTTAAACTTCAAACTGAAATATTATTAATAAGAAAAAAATCCTTTAGGTAAATCAGGCTGAAAAGATTGAAAAACATAAAACCATTGGAATAAGTGAATTGGTGTGAGTGCACGTGGTAAGTGGATCAAAAATAGTACACAAACACAAGTGTCTTCCCTTTAATAGAGACTGTAAGAAGTGTTTGTTTATCAGTATTCCTACAGCTACTTATTATATAATATCTAAACTATTACGTTGTACACAAAAGCCAGAAACGGAAACAATTATTACCTACTTATGAGTTATGAAAGAAAATCAAATAAAATATATAATATGTATGTATATAATAAATTGAATGATGCATTGATCATAATAAAATATTCAGTATAAAAGAGGAATACCAAAGCCATTATATCTAAAGGATACCAGAAATTTTATATTATTTTTGTTGCATTAAATATATCTAATTGCTGGTAATTTGTGTTATTGTGTCCAATATTATTATATATTATTATAATTTATTATGTTAAATATCCTTTATTGTAAATTAGGTTAGTTTTAAATTACTTATTAGTCTTAAGTTAAGCTAAATCGAAATGTTAAATTGTCACAGTCACAATTTATAAAAAAAAATTAATCAACCTAACAATGTTAAACAAAAGACAAACGGCGCGTTTCGCTTGATTGTGATTGGTCAACAGCCTCTACAGACGTGACATGATCCGGCAATCATTTTATTTTATATTGTTTCCTATTTTCCAAATAAAATTAAGCTTTATGTAGACAATGTTATTTTGTGGACTGTCTCACTGTTTTTGTCTCTGTCGACTTGTGGCACTTTGGGTAAGATTTAACTCGAAACTTAGCAAAAATTATGACTCCTGTATCCAAATCAAATACCTAAGTTCTTACGTATGCGTTTAATTCAGCGCGAAGTCTCGATCTTTTACCCTTCGTGACAAACAAGCTAAAACTTAAACATATTTAGGAGACAGTGTTACTAATAAAATTTACAAGATTGTAACTTAAGTGCGTTGTTTTAAGCGATATTTTCCAATGCTCCATATAATGTTCCTTCTTACCGGAATTAGAAGAATCGTGCCGACGACTGGACTGCCGGGAGAGGTCGTTATTTTTAGCTTTTGTATTGTTATCCTTATCCGAATGCTTCGACTGTCGATCCGGCGACTGAAACATTATCATTGATCTTAAAATAAACAGGAACACTTGTTTTGGAACGATTTGAAACGCGTTTAGAATAAAATTCAAGTCGAAACTAGCGAACTCTGTATCAAAAGTTAAGTATGAGATTCTTGCTCATAGTTAATATGGTTCATTGGAATTACACAAATTAAGTAATATTGAACACTTGTTGGCCTAAATACTGTTATCCTTTTTTTTATGTAATAGGAGGCAAACGGGCAGGAGGCTCATCTGATGTTAAGTGATACCGCCGCCCATGGACACTCACATTGCCAGAAGTATCGCAAATGCGTTGCCTCAAGAATTGGTACGCTCTTTTCTTGAAGGACTCTAAGTCGAATTGGTTCGGAAATACTTCAGTGGGCAGCTGGTTCCACATAGTGGTGGTGCGCGTCAAAAACTGCCTTAGAAACGCTCAGTTGTGGAACGACGGACGTCAAGGTGATACGGATGGTATTCTGTATTTTGCCTTGACGTCCGATAATGAAACTCAGTCTGAATAATATATGATACATACTTAAGCATAATATAGCTCTTGAATGTTGAAAATATTAAATCATTTCTTACAAAGTCGATTGAACAGCGTAATGCAAAGATTTTAGCAATAAAGAAATCTTTGCCAAAATACACTACATACCTGATCCTCCTCTGAGAAGTCAAACTTCTCTGGCGTGTCGTCACTGGCGGAGTCAGAATCAAAGTCATGTCTCGCCGTATGCCGGACTGGAGGGTTGAACTTGGACATCTCGTCTTCAGAAGGGCTATCAATTTCGTTGGCATCCACTTCTACAGTCTCGTCATACATTGGAAAATCATCGGAACGAACTTCTGTTAGTGACAATGTCTGGCAGTGTTTGTTATTGGTTTCCATGGCAACCGGTTGGCACAGGAGCGGGTTACTTTGGAGGTAGCGGAAGTATGAATGGCTCCCGGTACTAATAATTGTCTGGTACACGTTGGTACCAAATTTGCTAGTTCATATGTGATTAATGGGAATAATGGAACCATAATTCACATGTGTTATGCTTACCTAAACAAAGTTAAAAATCTCTCATTCAAAAATCTAATAAGTCGTGAACAGATTTACCGCTTAGGTACATAATTGTTAATAAAGATGGTCAAGAAATTACAAAAAGTTTATTTGAGAGATTGTTATCAAGTTAAGAATATTTAATTGATAAGTTTTTATAAATATTTATTGTACTTATTTATTTTATTTAAATTCAAAGCTACAAGTCATTGTAATACAGGAAAGATGGCTAAGAGTTAATTGATTATTTTTGAGTGTTTTAGAAAGTGTGTGAAAATATCTAGTGACACGAAACATAAAAAATATGCAACTCATCAATCTTTATACTTTCTTATTGCAAAAATTTCTTGGTCATATGAACAATTCATGCTTGAATAACTGTCTAGGACCGCGGTGAATGTAATTAATACATATAATTATTAATTAATGATGCGTGTAAAAGAAAAGTAGGTTAAGAAAAATACTCCAGTGAACTAAATCTTAAGCATATGACTCCAGTACAAAAGACACAAATTATTTCTATATATGTATACGTATAGCATTGAGCAGTGTTGGCCCAGCGTCTTCAGCGTGCGACTCTTATCCCTGAGGTCGTAGGTTCGATTCCCAGCTGTGCATTTGGACTTTCTTTCTATGTGCGCGCATTTAACATTCGCTCGAACGGTGAAGGAAAACATTATGAGAAAACCGGCTTGCCTTACGACACAAAAAGTCGACGGCATATGTCAGGCACAGGAGGCTGATCACCTACTTACCTATAAGACAAATGATCATGAAACAGATTCAGACACCTGAGGCCCTGACCTAAAATAGTTATAGCGCCACTGATTTATTTTTTTCTTGCATTAAACTCCTATAGAATGCTTTCTTTGTTCGGTCGCATTTCAAAATTGTAAGTCATAAACAAACCAGCGTTTCCTACTTTTACGAGATGGGTAAAAATAAAACGAACCGTTACCGAGGTCAATGACTTTAATAACTAAAATATCTAATTAAACCAAAATATTTTACAAAAATAGTTCGCTTCTAACAACCCGTGTACAATATTTTTGTATAGGCGAATTCATTTTGGAACTTAACATTATTAGCACATAAAAAAATATTAGTACATATTTTAAAAACGTACAAAAATATTTATTTTTAAAAGACCAAAAAAATATTAATCAGATATCAGCCTTTACATACCGACTTGACATCGAGTCATATTTATTATCCAATTAATGTTAATTTATAACGCTAAGAATTTGTTATACATACCTAATTAACATAAGAAATAGGGAAGTAGTTAATAGAATTTCTCTATAATAAAATAATTAAAGTCTATAATCGCACAATAAAAAAATCTTAAATACTTCTGAGAAATATCAAATATAGCATAATATTAATCTACAGAGGTCAAAAATACTAATTTCAATTTAACAAACAAAAATTATTATTTTTTTAACGTTAAATAAAGTAAATAAAAATTAGACACACTTAATTATGGCCAGCATAACTACTTGTCCTTTAAAAACAAGATTTGAAATAAAACACATTACCATAAACTTATGAACGTCGGCGACACTAGTTTTGTTTGGCATTCAGATTCGGATCAAATCAGTTAGTCGCCGTACCTATATAATAGTCCTAATTTTAGATCGTCATAAAACACTACAAAAGTTCGCGCATAGTTTGTCTCATGAGCCAGTTCACCAATTACGCGACATCTTCTTAATGCAACTTATCATATGATAAGTACACAAGCCATGAATTCTAGATCACAAAGAGTTATAGCTGTTTAGACTGTGTCTAATTATAGTTCAACCAACTTTATTTATTAGCTCGTCGCAAATAGCGGTCAACTCTTTGTTCGCTTTAGTTTTCTGCGCAAGCGTTTCCTCGAGGGATGATATGTGTAATTCCGTCCTTTTCATCATTGCCTGTAGCTTCAAAACCTCGGCTTCGTGACCTTTTTTCAACTTTTCATGTTCTTGATTTGCGTGGTTTAGCTTTCCGGTTGCGTGTTGTTTCAACAGCTCATAGTTGTTCTGAAACTTCACTTCACTATCTTCAAACTCTTGAAGTGATTTTTTCAAACAGTCTTCATTCGCTTTTAGGCTGAAAATAATTTGTTTACTCTTCTCATATTTGCTGTGCAAGTCGTTAAATGATATTTGCAAAGTTGATAAATGTGCAGTTTGTTCGTTACGGTCTTTAATAAGTCGAATTCGTTCTTCAGCATGCTGCTTCTTAGACTGTTCGAGTTCAGCAACTAAAGTTGCAATTGTCCTTTCATATTTTTCAACAACAGTCGCCATATTTTTGTTTTGATTATTTTTTTCTGACAGTACATTGCTTAAATCTTTTATTTTTCTTAGTCTGACTTCACCTTCGTATTCTAAAGTTTTCTCTTGAGATTCCAACGCGCCGAGCCTGTTAGTTAGTTCTTTACGATCATTTCTTAACACCTGTACGTGCATTTCTTTCTCGGCTAACATCTCTCTTAACTGCATGAGGGCTACATCGGTGTGCTGCTGTTCTGTATCTTGAGGTATACTCGTATCGTGGCATAAGGATGTACTAGTATTTCCACTAAGGGAAAGAAGCTTATCTATAACTGCCATAGCAGGAGATGTGAATGTTAAAGATTGCCTATTTCTTTTAGGGGGAGTTGCATTTTTTCTAGGGGACGCAACAGCTGGATTCACTACCATAGTAGGTTTAGATATATTATTAACAATTGATTCATCAATATGGTCAAAAGTGGGAACATTTTTACTACATGATGGAAATGCGTTAGTGGTTTCGGCGTATAAATAACTTTCTTCCGGTTGTTTTTCCTTTTTTGGCGTGCTTTGTTTCTTTTGAAAATCGCTTAATGCTGCTAATATTCCATCACTTGACACTCTTTTTGCAAATAAAGGATCAAACTTGAGAAATAAACTCTCTTTACCACTCTCAGCTACTATATTGGCCTGATTTTGATTCAATAAAAATTCAAACGCTTCGGCATCTATAAACATTTCATTTTCAGCATCATCAGTTTGTTGTTTAGGAAGGTCATCAAATGCCATATTATAATCATGCTTTTCGTCACTAAGAAGATTGTCACCTTTTTCGATCTCGCTTAAATTGTCTTCTTCTAAGAATGGTCCTTCAATAGTATCTTCATCTTCTGTGTTTGCTTCTTTTAAGGTCTCGTCTTCATGACTAGATTGTTCAATATAATTTCTATCTTGCAGAGTTTCTTTAGTATCATCGTTATTAACAATCACCGTAGCATTATTTTTATTTGACTCTAAGAGCTCGATGTTATCTGCGTTAAAGGTATCATTGACTAATGGTGGTGTTAAACATACTTTAGTTCTAGTAGGGAACGGGTTAAAATTTCTATCGTCGATTTCAGGTAAATTAAATACGTTTCTTTCACTAACATCGTAAGAGACGTTCAAATCATGTCTTTTATGATCATTAATAACAATATTATCTGTTTCTGAATCTTGTGCAATTACACCGTCAATATTGTTTCCGTTTGCATCATTTTGAATTTCAATTTTGTCTTTAGTTTGAAGAGTTTCAATTGGTTTGGTTTCATTTAATTTCATGTTATTATTTTCTTTTACACATGAGACTGCTTCATTTAAAGTGGAGTTCGTTATCTTTTTACAGACAATATTTAGCTTTTTTGGTAAGGGTTGCGATTTTCTCTTGTTCTGCAATAACTTTTGTCTACTGTTTGGTTTATTCATGGTTTCACTTGGCGTAAAAGTATCGGTAGCTGAATTCGTTTGCGGAGGTGAAGATCTCATCTTAGTTTTGGTGGCGAACGGGTCGTTAATTTCGTCAAAATTGAAATTGTACCCCTTTGGTTCCATTTTAGGAGTTGTAGGTGGTGATTCAAGTAGTTTAGATTTTGTTTCAAAAGGATTGTCGAGAACCACAGTATATGTACTTTGGCTTTTGTTAATATTTTCTACTTCTAAATCAACTTGATCTAATTTCTGAGTTTTGCAGAGAGGTTCCTGTGTTTCTGTACAATTTATTTCAAATAATTCTTCATTTATTATATCACATTCATTTGTAATAGTCAAATTGGAATCTAAAGCTTTCATAACATTTATTTCTACATTAAAGTCATTTTTCAAATCCGTTATCCAATTTTCTTCCGTGAGGTTATTATCTCCTGTAACTGTTAAATTTAGTAAGCTTAGTTTATTGAGCATTGTGTTTTCATCGTTAGCTAAATTTACAGTAGTATTAAAAGTTTTATTTTCAACTTGCGTATCACATTCTTCAATATGTGCAGAAGATTCATATTCCTTTTTTGATAAAACAGCTTGTTCAAATTGCGTATGACTAGAATTATCAACAAAATCTTCTTGGGGTGTATGATCATTCATAATGTGAGTGCTACTAACTTTCTTTGAAGAGCCTTCAAAAGCCAATATTTGGTTTTCATTTAGGATATCAGGTTGCAGACAAACTCTTTCATCATTAAAAATATTATATTCAGAAATTATATTTTTAGTCTCATAGAATGGCTCTGATATAGAAACAGGATGTTTTTGGAAAGAGTTATGAGCTTGATATTTTAAATCACTATTTTTAATATTGGTCAGGGATTTATTATTTTCGTCAGATACAATTAAAGGTTCTACTATATGGTCTTTGCTTACATCTTTCTCTATATTTTGGCTGTCATACGTATTATTACAAATTTCAGTTCTGTCAGTAGCCTGAATCAACTGAAGAATGTCTATGTCTTTAAGGTCATTTTTGTTAATAATATTATCCTTTAAATCACCAATATCAGTATGTAAATCTTCAATAATTTGTTCTTGAAATATTGTACAATTATCATGCAACATACCTGAGTCAATAGCAGCTGTGCTAACCTGAATACTACTTTGATCTTCCAATTCACTTTGGTCTGCACTACAATCAACATCACTTTTGTTAACTATTTCAATATCATGTTTATAAATTTCATCTCCCTTAAACAAAAATTCGGGGTTTTCATTTGATTGTACCACATCTGGGAGGTCAGATTTATTAATAATATTTTTACTGATCTCATCATCAATTTCAGTATTGAAATCTAAATTTTCGGAATATTTGGTTTCATCTTCTCTATTGCTAGGAAACTCAGTATAAGTTTCTTTATCGACAGAAGCCTCTGTAATGTATACTTGATTATTATCATTATTTGCCTCTATTCCAGTAGTTATTGCATGACTGTTACTAACACCAGAGCCAATGTTGATTTTAGTATTTCTGTCTAAAATATCCTCATTATATGATAGGGTTTCATTTAAATCTTTATTATCTATTTTACTAACTTCCTCTTCCATCTGTATTGTTTCAGAAGATAAAAGGTCCTCAGTGTGTGTGAGTGTGTGAGTTACAATATCAACTGTTCTATTTGATATTTCTTCCTCCATTTCAATACTTGTTTGTGGCTGTTTTGGTTCTAGAGTTTCCTCAATACTGTGAGGTTGTGTACAAAATTTGTCTGAGGTTTCACTTTCTAATATATCCTTCGTATCTGGAGAGCCAAGGTCTAAAGTTTTATTCAATTTCAGAGGTTTATTATCAAAATCAATATTTAGACCTACACTTTCAACAATTAGTTGATTATTTATTATATAATTTACATTCTCTATCATTTCAATACCTAAACTATTATCAACAGATTCATTTAGTTTTATGGCAATATTCTCCAATTCAGTACTTTGCAGTCTTTTTCCTACTATGTCATCCATGTTAATAGTTTCTTTATTGGCATAAGAATTAAGTTTCGATTCAAGGCTAATGGTGTCTTCTTTATTTGAATCAGCAACTTCACTAATATCCATTTTGATAACAACTGCACTATTAAGTGTAATATCAGATTCTTCCTGTAGATTTGATTTGGTTACGCTAGAGACAACCTCGATATTTTCAAATTCCAGACCTGACATATCAATGTTAGGATCTTTATTTAAGAGTTTAGCAGCAAGTGGTACATTTCCACTATTATGATCTGCTTCAGAACTGTTTAATGTTGTTTCACAATCCTTAAACTCTGAATCAGATTCATAATTATTTATAACAGTACTGGCATCCCTTTTCTCAATTTCTTTAATGTTATTAGCTGTTATAGTCTCATTTAAAGAAATATCCATGTACTCAAGAGAAATATTCCTATCATCTTGAACTATATTACTAATAGCAGGCTTAACATTAGAACTTATATGAGTAGGAAATAAAATATGTAAAGGCACTTTTTCTTCTTTGAAAAATACAGCAGAATCTTCTTTCCACTGTAATTCTCTATCTAAATCATCATTAAATGTAACACTTTCTTTCAAAGTACAATTTCTTTTTGAATTTTTCATAGGTGTTGAAGCTAAGACGGTTCCGGTTTGAGGGTTGGAGTCAACAGTTTGTAAATTCAAAACAGCTTCCAGAGAGACTTTTTCTTCATCATCCCTATCTTGAACAGGTGGAATTGGGCTTTGTGATGATCTAAACATGCTGAGGACACTCTTTAACCCTCTCATGATAGGTGAGCTGCACTCTTTTGGAATTTCTTTTGTTGGAGTTGTGGCTTCTGGGGTATGACCCAAAGATGAAGATGTACTTGGTAATGATAAGCTTTCCATATCAGCTCCATCAATATTCAGATTTATATTATTTTTAGCATCAAATGACCCTTTGTCAATGGTTTTTATATTTAAGTCTATACACTGACTTGTTGTTATTGATTGTAATGGCAAAGACTTTGGTGATTTTATTAAACCATTGCAATTGGCTAATGTAGAATTCAATGATCGTGTAAGGTTGGAGTTACTATTTACAATGTGATGGTCTTCAACAACAGAAATATTCTTATCATCAATGTTAGCAGTAAAACTTTTTGACATTGATGAAGTTCCTTGAGTAATAGAGCATATATGTTTCACCTCTGAGACGTCCAAATTATCATGCACCTTTTCAAACGCCGGCGCCCTTGGCAAAGCATTATTAATATGAAATGTATTCTCCTTGTTATCAAAGTCACTTTCAATACCGTCCAAGTCCATAGGCTCTACGTGAGCCATTGTTCATTAACTCAATTTATTTTTTTAATTAAATAGTCTATGCACTTTTTACAGTCACATTAAGTTATATCTTGTTAAAACGAAGTTTGTCAAAAATGAAAACAAAAATACACGAACACGCAATTCACTCTAAATAATCTATTTTTAGCTCTTTTATACACGAAGTCACTCGATGATTATTTTATATAACATAAGCGCCCGAGGGAATTTTGCCAAAACGCGTAGCCGTTACGAGCTCGGAGCTACTCAAAGGAGGATAACAACGAATTATAAACGCCGTTTTTAATTTTTCAAACAGCAACGGGCAATCGTTGTCAATGTCAATACCTATCTCTGATCTCACAGATATTACGAATGTTTATAACAGATTACATTATAAAGCTAGGACTGGATCTATTTCTATTTTTTTATAAACTTATGTAAATCTAAGATGTTAATATATTTTTTTTAATAATATTTATTTACATTTTTAACTATTTAACATTAATTATCTTTAGACACCAAAATTACTTGGACTCTGCTGCTGCTCTAAATAAATGGTCAACATAGTAATGTAAACAAAATATAAAAAAGTTTACAAAACTAAAGAGTATTATTATAAAGATAGTCTGTGGTAAATATAAAAAAATGTGAAGTGTGCTTTTTAATGACTTGTCAATTTTCAATCAATTTTGTTTAATTTTTTTTTAATTTATTTATTAGCCGGAAATCAATTTTGTAGTGAAGCAGGGCTGCCAGATGTACCAGGTTTTTTGTCATTATTAGTCATGTACGATCGCTAGACCAAGATCGTACAGAAAATGTACGATTTTTCTGTACGAAACATTTATGTAGCAACATTTCGTAATGAAACGAATATACTCCACCGGCAAGTATTATGTTTGGGGAATTCGCCAACGACCTAACGTATGCCTAGATCTCTTACTTGAATGATGACCCTTTACGCCTAAATACCCTTTTTTCATAAAAAGTCTGTATTTTTGTGCATTGTTACAAAACTTATGATATACTCTTGTACAGACTTGTATTTTAATAGTCAAAAACCTGTTTTTCTCATCAGTCTCGAGCTCTAAGTGATTATATCCTCTTTTGATCTTCATATTGTCTTTAGTGTTACTTCAATACGCTTAAGCAAGAATGGGTAGTGAAAATTAAGAAGAGCGACCTACGCCAGGTACTCTAAAAAAGAAATTGGCCAAAAGAGGAGAGCTTTCTGCAACAGAGAGGAACAAACACAGACCACAGAAGTATAGTCCCGATTGGGAAAAATTAGATTTATTTAACGACTGGTTAGGGCCAGGTAAAACCCAATGTAAAGCCAGGTGCAACGTTTGTGACGTTGAAATAGTTTCAGCATATGGAGTTATAAAGTTACACTCTTCAAGACAAAGGCAGCCAGTAATTATAAAGAAAACTTTCCACTATTATATTGTACGATCTTTTCATTTCAAAGTTTTCTTGGAATACGATGTTTTGTAGTTGATGTACAATCATGCGATTTTTTTCATCTGGCAGCCCTGTACTAAAGACTGAAGTTAGAACTTAGAAGTGCGACTGCAGCCGTAAGTCGTAACTAAATTGTAATCACAGAGTCATAATATTATAATTATCTATATGGTTGTCATCTTTAATATTTTTATAAACTTCACTTCATAGTTCATCCTTCGACCTTCACATTTCACAATTCACATTTAGTTGAATGCTAGTTGCTACTATTGAGTTCATCACAAATCACAATTATTGAATTATAATATATTCGTATTTCGGAAGGTAACGTAATATTTTATTTATACTTTAAAAAATTAAGAAACCACGTAGTCCCATACGAATTCATGATACTAACTTTAGTTAATTATAAGTATTCCTCAACTATTTAATTGCCCTTTTAAACCGTGTTATAATTTACTTAATGCAAGTTATGTGCCATGTATTACTCTACTAATTGGTCTATTAGAAAGTTATGCATAGCTATTTTTACGGTAGACTGATATTTTTGTTTTAATATACATCAATTAATAACTTAATATCGCTTTAATATGTAATAGTGGAAACTTATGAAAGTTGTCCGAGATGTATTTAATTTTTTTCGAGTTTACATTGAGACAGAAAGCTGTATGTATATATTGTATGTTGAAGTATTTATTTATTAGTTCATATATTAATAAATGTTCATTTAAATTAAGTCTATCATATTTTATAGGATGAACTATGGAAATTGAGCATGGAGTGACAGTAAAAATTTTGTTCTTTGCTAAGTCTAAAGAACTAGCTGGTACTCGAGAAGCAAGAATCACAATACCTGAAAAAATAACATACCAGCAACTGCTTAATATTATTGCGAAGAATTATAATTTAGAAACAATTAAGGATCATATACTATTAGCAAAGAATGAGGAAGTTTGTTCTGATAACCGAGAATTAGTTATACGAGAATTTGATAATATTGCTGTAATACCACCATTAAGTGGAGGCTAAACATGGATCATTTAAAACTAACTGCTGACAAATTGAGTATAGATGATATTAGTGAATTAGTTGTGAATGATAGTTGTGGTGCTGTTTCTATATTTGTTGGAACAACCAGAGATAACTTTGAAGGAAAAAAGGTTAGTATGGTCCTATGTTTTAATACTGGCACTGAGGCAATGTAGTAATGATTTATGGAACTATAACATAGTACAAGATTATTAGAAACATTATTAAAATTTTGACCTCTATTCAAATGAATTTCTAGGTGCTACACCTTGAATACGAAGCTTATGAACCAATGGCCTTAAAGGCAATGAAAAGTATTTGTGATGAAGCTAGGAGCAAGTGGCCAGCTGTACATGGGATAGCAATTTATCACAGGTAAATACATAATTTATAAATTCAATTAATAAGGGTATTTAAAATTGTTTGATTTTTTAATATTATTAGATTAAAGCTTTATTAATTAGGGACCCCACCTACTTAATAAAAAAATGTCTGATGTATAATTGTGATTGTAATTATCAATAATTATGATGAAAATTACATCATCATTGCTTAATAATAAAGTTATTTATGTGTGTTATCTTTATCTATGTGACCTTGCTGTATACTTGTTATATATGCAAATTAAATAATTTGATACAAACGACGAAACACACAAATTGCTATTTACACAGCTGTGCATTACCATGAAAACATTATCAAGGATTATTTTAATGAGGAAAGACTTTTGAAATGTATGAATATTTGTAATTGGTTCAGACAGAACAGGGTATATATTCTACAAACATGCTTATATGTATAGATAGGTATCTTTAAGAGAGGTATTACAAGATATTCTATTTTAGGCTTGGTGCTGTACCATGCTGTGAAGCCTCTGTGGTGATAGCAGTAAGCAGCCCACACAGGCGAGATTCCTTAGAGGCTGTGAGCTATTGCATAGATACACTTAAAGCTAGCGTCCCAATTTGGAAAAAAGAGGTGTATGCTGACAGCGAGCCTGTATGGAAAGAGAACATTGAATGTGCGTGGTCCAAACAAGCTCAGAAAGTGTAGTTTGACTTGTCAATGGGCCTTGGCCCATATTCCAAAATTTTGTAAAATCAATAGATAACACTGTTACCCATTTAAACTAGTGGCTAATCAACATTTTTATATATAATATTACTGTGGTGCCTTACAGGCTGCATAACTACGGATTGATAATTACAAAACAGAAATACTGTTAAGAAGTTTGATATCATTTTGGAATATGGTAGAATGATCTTTTGTATTTTCAATCAATACACATGGAGCTCATCATTATTTTTTTTTTTTACAATTTAAGTATAAAATATTGCTTACTATAAGGTTGGCTTGTTAATTTTTTTAAAGTGTTACTTTTCGAAGTTATTTTTATTGAACAAACAGAAAATTTACAACTTGTTGTAAAAGTACTTTTTTTACTATTAAAAATGCGGACACAAAGTTTCCTCTATATGATCCTTGGTTGCATGAATTGTGTTATATAATATAGTTTTGCTATCCATTTTTTACCTCAATTAATTATCCCATTTACAATTATTTATTACATGTGTAAGATGTTAATTTATTTTATAAGTATTTTTATATATAATTTATGAAGATAATATATTTAGTAAAATGTCAAAGTTATAAAAACAAAAAAAATAAACAATGGATGAGCATTGTAAATAAATGTGCCTAGATTATTGTGACGTAAACTTTAAATAATTATGTGTCCACGTCATTCATTAAATGTTGTGCACTAATTTTGCGGCAATGTTTATCCAAACTATAGATAAGCAAAGCTTACTATAATAAAATCTAAAAGCACAATAACTGTTGATAACATGTTGTTATTTTGGTAATGGGTTGTTTTAAGTTTCAATAAATATATACGTTTTAAAAGGATTTTTATTTATCTCCGTTTCAGGTAAACGGATAGCTGATAAAAATTTAGTTCAAATAAATGTGTCAAACGAGGAAATTCAAAAGCGGATTCACCATTTTATTGAACGAAAGAGGGCGCAAGTGAATTTGAGTAATATCCAGGATTTTATACCGCGACGTGAGAATGAGACGGAAGATATGGAGACGTGTGCGAGAGTGAGAACGCAGTTTGTGAAACGCAACGATTCTAAAGGGCATTTGAAGGGTGAGTATCCTTAAGCAAAATGCACGTCCAAAATTAAATATAAAATGGCTTACATTTAAAATTCTAAATTAATGTATGGTAAATTAACTAAGTCTCATCAAGGATTAATGCCGGGCGCATACATACTGATTCCTGATCAGAAATCCTGATCAGGTTTCCTAATCAAGAATTCCATGTGGAGAGCGCACACATTCTGTTTTTTGCATTCGGAATTTAAACGATCAGTTCGATCATAGACGCTTCTGATAACGCACGAGTATGGACGACGAAGACGAATTGATGCTCATTGCTCTTTTATTGGCGCTAGACAAAAGGGCAAAAACGTCGTTATTGGGTGCATCCACTGAATACCCAAAGATTAACTGAGAGTCAATTCTATGTCAAAAGAGCAAAGTTACGGGCATACCCAGAAGAATTCTTCAAATATTACAGGATGCTCAATGAAATCCTTTGATGAGCTTCATACGAGATAAAATAAAAAAGCAGGAGAGTGTTACGTCGTACGTCTACTCGGCACAGCGCGGCGCCAACGCGATTCTGAATGAAAATTTCCGTACGTGTGCGGCGATCGAGCCAAAATGTATGCGAATGCTGCGTTCGGGGTGACGTATAGTTTTTCCTTCTTCCAAACGAACGCACGGAGAAATTGAACGAACGTCAGGTTTTTCTGTCCGGAAAAAGTAAGAACGGTGTGGCTTGTCGAACATTTTGTATGCACGCGGACCATTCAGTTTCCGAATCTGAAACCCTGATACGGAAACCTGATCCGGAATCAGTATGTATGCGCCCGGCATAATGCCGATTTAATTCGAATCGTAATGCCGGGCGCATACATACTGATTCCGGATCAGGTTTCCGTATCAGGGTTTCAGATTCGGAAACCTGAATGGTCCGCGTGCATACAAAATGTTCGACAAGGCGCACACCGTTCTTACTTTTTCCGGACAGAAAAACCTGACGTTCGGTTCGGAATTTCTCCGTGCGTTCGTTTTGGAAGAACGGAAAACCTGATGACGTCACCCCGAACGCAGCATTCGCATACATTTTGGCTCGATCGCCGCACACGTACGGAAATTTTCATTCAGAATCGCGTTGGCGCCGCGCTGTGCCGAGTAGACGTACGACGTGAACACTCTCCTGCTTTTTTATTTTATCTCGTATGAAGCTCATAAGGATTTCATTGACATCCTGTAATATTTGAAGAATTCTTCTGGGTATGCCCGTAACTTTGCTCTTTGACATAGAATTGACTCTCAGTTAATCTTTTGGGTATTCAGTGGATGCACCCAATAACGACGTTTTATCCCTTTTGTCTAGCGCCAATAAAAGAGCAATGAGCATCAATTGTCTTCGTCGTCCATACTCGTGCGTTATCAGAAGCGTCTATGATCGAACTGATCGTTTAAATTCCGAATGCAAAAACAGAATGTGTGCGCTCTCCACATGGAATTCTTGATTAGGAAACCTGATCAGGATTTCTGATCAGGAATCAGTATGTATGCGCCCGGCTTAAAAGAGTTCTAAATATCTGTTACTGTACCTTAGTCAAATTTAACTATAGTACTCATCTGTCTCTTTTCATCACAGTGCGTACACAATTTGACAGAAAAAGACATGGTATATTGTTAAAAAAGTGCAAATAGACTGATTTGTTTATGAACAGGTGAATATAGGGATTTTCGAGTTATGCGAGAAATAGTTGACGTAATTTATCTATCAATAAGGAACCATAACAGACCCATTGCAAATATATACAAGTTATAATTATAGAAAAGTCCTGAAATTGTTACACAGATAAGACTTTTTTATAAAAGTTTGACTAACACAACAAAAAATTACACATTAGAAGCACGAATATGCAAATATAGCAATTTAAATAGACGTAGTAGTAAAAATCAAACATAAATTTTTAAAGCGCTTGAAAAAATGTATTTTGCTTTCGCTACTTAAATAAACATAATTAAATATATAATTGTAGTCTGTATGTATTTTATGAATAAGCAAATAAAATTTCAGTTTGTCGTGTCGAAAATGAATGGGGACCACAAACGGTGCCCGAGCCCCAAATGGTCCAAAAAGTAGACTCAACTTTGCCCCATTCGATCGCTGAGCGGGTCACAGCTATCGAATCGTATTTGAACACGACACCCGTATCGCCTGATATTTATAAACGACTTAAGGAAATGGAAGATAAAATCGCATATCTTCAATCCATTTCACCGGAATACGCACAGTTTTGGGTAAGATAAAAAAAATAACTTGCCATTAGATTGTTGACGTTTCAGATTCAGATTCTCTGGTCTTAGATATCTGTTTCATGATAATTTGTTTTTTTAAGAGGCAAGTAGGCGATCGGCCTTCTCTGCCTGACACACCCCGTCGACTTCTTGGGGTTACGTCTCTTCGTCCTTTACCGTACGAGTGATATATGCGGGTAGATAGAAAGTCCATTGGTGCATAACCGGGGTTCGAACCTATGACCTTAGGGATGAGAGACACGCTGAAGCTGACATCATGAGGCCAACAGTGCTATTACTACAAGCTCTCTCTATTTCTTATGTTAGCCGTTATATTCGAAATTCTTAATTTAAAAGGATATTTATAAAATATTTTATTGTCAGTTTTATCGACGTAAATTATTAATTAACCCAATATATCCAGAATTTAAGGGTTTAATAAGACATTAGTTTCTATTTTTAATCATGTTTTCAGAAAAACAATAAGTCAACTATAAAGCAAGAACAAATGCCCGAGTACGTGGTTAGCGCAGAAGACATTGATAAAAAGATTGAATTATTGGAACTACAACAGAATCTTATGTAGTTCATACAATCTTGGGGCATCTTTAACGCAAATTATTTTTTATTCCTTCAATATTAAACTACTTGCAACTCGCCTTGATTTTTATTCCTCTGTGTACATTTCCCTTTATTCATACACATAGTATAAATATTGAATTTGTGGAAATTAAAATATAATAATTAAAATATAGCTACGTTTAATTCATGATAACATCGGCCATGCGTCATTTGTTGATTAAACATAGACATAATAATATTAATTACTAACAAAATACACAAAATTTATAAACAAAAAAATATAAAGAATGACAGATAAAAAAAAATGGGTAATGCGTGTGTTGTGGTTATAATTGGCCTTGGCTCAGCATTATGCTGAGGAGCAGACTGTTCCACAGCGCTGGTCATTCTGCCAGAGACCACAGCAGCTAGTTTGCACTTTGCGCCTCAGTCGCAAAAAAAGAAAAATAATGTAATAATAATAATACTTAGTAGAAAAAAAATAATATTAGTAAAATTGATCAGTGTAAGTAATGAAGTGTTGTGTAAAAGTAATAAAATAAAATTATAAATTAGAATAATTCTTATGAAATAGATACATCAATATTTTTGGGCAGATTTAAATCTTTACATGTAGTATAAGATCCCGATATACAACGACCTTATAAATGCGACGAAAATTTGGTTTTAGTTGATTTTTCAACGGAGGGATATTATTTCCAACATTTCATCGCGCTATATTTAAAACTCCCACGAAATGACGCTGTCCGATGCTGGGGAATGGCGAGCTCCTGAGTACAACTCTTAACTTTGTCCTTGTTGATATTACTACGCCAGAGGAGCTTTTTGTACAGATATTCAGTTTGTTTACTATATACTACATGAAATAACTAACATGCATACAATTTTTGTAGACCTTTCATTGTTAAAAGGTTTAGGTAAACATATTTAGGGTGGTCCTTATTTTTCGACTTTTGAATTATCCTCGGGGCACTTTCTCATTTGATTATATACCTCTAAATATGAAATACGTGTTTTTTTTGTTTTTGTTTTTGTTAAGATTTAGAGGTCGCTACCAGCTGTCAAATTTTTTATATTATTAACAGTCAATTAGATACCAGTCTTGATGTCTCTAAATTGAGTGACAGACAAGCAACTATGGTCGTGACATCTACTTTGAAATGTGCAGGCTGTGGTCCATCAGAATTTAATGTCAATAGATCTACTATGCGTCGGTAATGGGTCCAAAATCGCAAAGCTGTGCAGATTCGCTCAAAAGCGAGTTTAAACCTAATTCGTCATTAACAATCCATTGGTAGGGTAAACTTCTAGAAGATATTACTGGACACAAAACTAAAGATCGGCTGCCAATTTTGACATCAGGATATGGAGTTTATCAACTACTCGCTGTTCCAAAATTGGAACGTGGAACAAGCGAAGCTTGTCCGTCCAGCTGTCTATGAAGCTATAAAGTCATGGAATTTGAGCTATAAAGTAAAATGTTAGACAATGTTTTGACTCTACTGCTGTAAATACCGGCTTAAGGCGTGGAGTATTCGTCCTTCTGGAGCGCAATATGAATAAAAATAAGCTTTGGTTTGCTTGTTGTCACCACATAATGGAAATTATGTTGTCAGCTGTAGTGGATCACTTGCCCCATCTAGTGCTCCTGATATACAATAATTCAAAAGATTTAAGAACAATTGTAACACTATTGACCAAAGCGACTTCAAATCAATAACAGCTGATGACGCTGAGGCAAATATTCTTGCAGAAGTGGCCGCAGACAGGATTTCGTTTGCATAAAAGCAACTTCAAGTACATGAACCTCGAGATGACTAAAGAGAACTGTTGAATCTTACTATCATTTCCTTAGGAGGTGTTCCTGACAAAAGCGTTTCATTTCAGAGACCTGCTGGTCTTCATCGAGCTAGGTGGATGGCAAGAGCCTTGTACAGTTTAAAAATGTATTTATTTAAGCATCAGTTTAAGCTAACGAAGAAGGACGAAAAAGCTGTGAGAAAAATATGTATTTTCAGTAGTTGTAGAGTCAGTCAGCACCAAGAAACGACTTACAATTATTAATAGACTTAAGGTCTTCAACAAAAATATAGCTACTGATGCGCTGATAAAGATTTTAAATAATTTGTAATTTGTCAGAAGACATAGTTTCGCTTGCGTTTTTCGATGACGACGTTTTAGTTCAAGAAAAGAAAAATATAGTAGAAGTACTCAAAATTTAAGGCACAGAAGATTGCTTAAAACGAATAAACCTTGGCATCGCACATATCGACAAAAAAAATAGAAAACTTCGTGAGTAGTCATTCCTTAAGATTCTTCCAGACCCTAGATTTCTCATGGTGTTTTTTTAAAAGACGTCGAAACCTGGAACGAAAACGCTGATTATATAGCTGCCAAAAATATCGTTCATTCATTGCGAGTAGTGAACGACATAGCTGAGAGGAATGGAAGAATATAAAAAAATAATTACCACAAATGAAGAACAAAAGCAATATTTGCTTTTAATGGTAAAAGAGTATAGGATAAAGTACCCTAATACTAACAATTCAACCCTTATATCTTTAAAATAAACAAATCAGATATCTATATAATATCTTAATTAATAACAATAACAATAATTTCGTAACATTTTTAAGACCTGGGTATAAAAATAAAGAATTCTAACAAATACAGATTTTCAATTTTTATTTAAAATTCAAACCTTGGTAGCGACCTCTAAATATCATTTAAAAATTTCAAAAAAAATACTGAAACCCTTTTTTATGGTATATATCCAAATTACGTGGTGCCCCGCGACATTAAAGAAAAAAAATTTTTTTCTTAGGAATAAGGACCACCCTAGACTAAACATATTATATTATGTATTTATACAGGCTGAACCAACGGGTTTTTTGACCCTCTCCGTAAGGGATCGTTCAAGTATTACGTAACGAATTTAGGGGGGGTCCTTTTGTAAAACGTTACGATACGGAGCGGTGATTGAATTACGCGTTATGGTTAATGTTATTTTCGACTTTCCAGTACTTTACACCACATAATGGTAACTTGGGGACAGAAAAACGTTACGGTGCGTGACGTAATGCAAGGTTAAAAAATTAAAAAATAAATAAATGAAGACAAAGTACATTAATAGGCGGTCTTACTGCTAAATGCAGTTTCTTCCAGACCTAGATAGATTTACCAATAATATTTAATAGGTAAAATATAGAATAAAACCCGTCTCTTAATAAATAATTTTATTTACAATCATTTTTACAATTCACACAAAACACCGCTGTCATCGACACTGACAAACTTTTTTCACACATTTCCGTGTCCTACCATTTTACTGAACAATTATAGATACATTTGAAAAAAAATATGTATTTTGAACTTTGCTGATAAAGAAACACAATTACATTTAAGAAGTCGAATTAAACCGACTTAACAAAAGCATTCTGTCTCCTTTCATTACAGCGTAAATACAATTTTACGGAAAGAGACAATAGTACTTAAGTTCAAAGTTTTGATGAATAATTCAGAAATTTTTATATAAATTAGTGCTCACTCAACAAAACATGAAAATACAATAATTTTTAATATAAAGGAAACAAGCAGAAAGGTTTCATGAATTAATATGATTTCACAGCACTCTCTTATAATTAACAGTTTTATTACATATAGCTAGTTTCACATTTGAAACTACCCTCCATTTTAGTGCGGGTATCTGTCTAAAAAGGTATTCCATGACGAATCTCCGTTCACAATCACTTCCTAGGATTGTCAACTGACATTAAATTTGAACAAGTCATCTACTTGCTTCATTTGGTCCTTTTATTGGACATCCCAGTTTTGTCTATGAATAACTTGAACCAGGAGATATTTAACTCAATTGTGATATATATTTAATTAAAATGACATCTTATATTCAGTACCATTTATAAAACTAAATTCAGTCTTATTACAAGTATGCATTGAACTCTTTCTGTCTCTCTTGTTTACGGGAAGAAAAAGAGACGGTTTTTTAAACAGGAATTGGGTAATTTAGTTTTATAAAGGGATTTCTATATTTCATTTAAAATTGAATTTATTTAAATTTTGCTAGTTAACTTTATCACATTGAAAAACTCTTTTTTAAAAAGAAAACAAATACGATTTTACTATTACCAGTCACTAAGTGACAAGAATGTAGGTTCCAATAACAACGGGTCGTAATCAGTTAGTCGGTTGCGGTCTCCTGAGGTAAAGCACTAAGCCAAGGGCAGCCGCTAATATCGCAATGAGGTAGACATCCCAATTCGAGAGAAGCGTAGATTCACCAGAGAGGAATATCATCGCTAGCGGACTCTGCAATATGGACTAAATTATCATTTATTTAAATTGAACTGTTCAAGTAACACACTAATGGAGCTTGGGAAAAACACATTTCAAGACTTTATTTATGGCTTTTGACATAATTGTTTGCCGGTAATCGAACCCAAAACCTGCAGTTTATTGCCAGCTAAGAGTGAAAGTAAACTGCGCAATTATTTTTTTTAATTAATTTACGTCTTATTTAAAATTGCTTGTTTTCTAATGTTCAAGCAAATTATATTAATAGTCAATAAGTTAATAATACTATATATTATGACACTTTCATCGAAATTGGGACACAAGTTTAAATTTACCTCTCAAATTGAATTAATAACATTGTTCTAAAAAGTCAGCGAGCGTCAGGCACAGAAGGCTGATCACCTACTTGCCTATAAGAAAAGAAGTGATCACGAAACTGATATAGAAGTCAGAGGCTCAGACCTTAAGGGATCATTATTTACTTAAAAAGATCATATTAGTTTTTTAAATAAATAAATTTATACTCACATCCATCAACGAGGATAGCGTCGTAACAGCTGTAAGCCGAGCCAGTGCCAAGGCAGCCGGCAGTCTTGCCTCCGGAGCCGCATCAGCCGCCAGGTCGTAGCACCTCTTGGCCAGGTGGATGTCGCGAGCTAAGCCTAAGCCTCGCTCGTGCATGTAGCCTAGGTTGAAGGTAGCTTGAGGGTTGTGGAGCTGTTCTGATGCTATCCTGTAATGGTAATTAGGTCCTTCGAGCCGAAATCACGTCTTTATCTCATGCGTTGTATTAAAACAGTATCACTGTTGAACTAACATTATTGCTTCCTAGGTGTTAATTTAACCAGTTGATTAGACTAACAATTACAAAATTTGATTCTTAGTATGCAACAAATCTTTAAGTACATGCTTAAAAAGTGTTTGAACAAATAGTTTTACGCAAATCCTTCTTATAAATAAATGATTGGATATGCAATTATGAGATTGACAAACACTATCAATAATGAAAACAGATCACGTTTAAATACAAATATAATTAACAATATTATTTTGAAGTCGCTATTATTGTATTTCGAAATTTCATTAATTATTTTTTATTTCAATTTCACTTCAATCCAGAATCTGACAAATAATTAGATTGTCTATTATTTATGTCAATATAATTTTTTAATTAAAATTCCAAACACTACTAACGTAAAAAAATACTTCTGACGTGTTGACGTGACGTGAATACGACTGAAAGGCTTTTAGCGATAACACTTAACCAGAGCTTTGATTATTTAATTTTTAAGTAAATTGTTGTTATTTACTGTTAACAAGAGAAAATAGAAATATCTTATACAGAAAATTCTAAATAATATTGCAAAAACACCACATTTGTTTTGGAAACGGGAAATAAATTGTGAAAATATGATCCCACAAGATGATACCTGTAATGATAAGCAGCTGCCTCTAAGTCCACGTTGGTTCCCAGCCCATAATAGTGGTAGTCTCCCAGCTTGACTCGTGCGGAGGCACAGCCTTGGGATGCTCCACGGGACCAAAGCTGTAAAGCCCGACGCCATCTTTCTTCTTCTGGGAAAAGTTGGACTTCACCTGGAAATTATAGAAAATGTTTAAAACTATATTCAAATTCGGTAAAAAAGAATGTAGCATTTTTAAAAAAAATGGGAAATTTATTTATAATTATCATCAGTGACACATGTTAAGTCACGTGACAAAACCACAGAACACTATTGTTTTCAATTATTATTTATTTTATTTATTGTTATTTTTTTTTGTATAGATTGTTGTATGGGGCCGACGTCATTTATTTATTAATAATTTATAAAAACACGCTACTATAAGCAATTAGATCGGGCTTCTTGCCTGCACACTCGGTTTTACGACTCTTTCCTCGATCTCAAAAAAAATGACGATTTGAAGACGATAAATTGAAATTAAATAGTCTATAGTCTGATTTTTCATTCAGTAGAATTCTGACATTTCACGAGAGTTGCTACTAAAAAGTTCTCCACCGAAAAAGTGACAAATTTACCCATTTGAGGGCAATAAATAATAAAATACTACGTATTTTTTATGTTTTACCTACAAAAAGCTAAATCTTAATATTTACTTACTCAAGTGATCTAATACAAAAATAACAAATATTTCAATATCACGAACAATATATCGAAATAACTTTGATTACTTTATTGTATTCTTTAGCTGTCATTACTGCCTACTTATTCCAGGTTTAGTAAACCATTTAAAAAAAAATGTTATCTTTATTTGTGCGTTTTTTACTGTTTGTGATGAAAAGGGTCGCAATTATCACTCGCCGTTAAACCACTTATAATGTGGAGCACCGCACTTAATAAAATGGATTCATGGCCAAAAAGGTTTGTAATCTCTGAAATGTCAAAAAATTATAGCTGTCAGAATTCTACGGAATTAAAAATTGGAGTATAAATGCAATACGTTTTTAAAATACTAAGCGACTTTGATTCTTACAAAACTACCGGTGCGCATGAAACAGATAATTCAAAATGAAAACACTGGTTTCCTAAACCTCTTACCATCATCCAACAAATAAGCAGCATTACTCTGGGCGATCTCAAAACCGCGTTCAGCAAGAGCCAAGTACTGCAACAACGCTGAATCTGTGTCCCTCGCTCGCCAAGCCGCGTGTCCTAGCATTAGTCGGGACGACCACGGACCACGTTCGCATACGTTTTTAAATAACTGAAAATTATCATACATTGTAATTCAGAGACTCAGCGCGAACTAAAACTTCCATATCGTCACTGTAGAACGATAACCTCGTATGTCAAAAAACCCATTTATTTTTTATTCTTGATTCTTATAACATTTAACTGCTATAATTATGAAGTAAGGACTTATTTATTAATAAGATTTTACCATCCAAAACTATGGACAAAAACACAATTATATTATAATGAACATTGACGAAATTTAACTATTTTTTCGTTTCCTGCAATGTTTAGTTCTCTGGACATACGAGGTTATCATTCTACAGCGACGATGTGTACCCGAAAATAAGAATTGGCTAACGGCTGCTTTCTTTAGTCGATTTATAATCAAACATTATTTCCAATCCAGATTTTCGCAAATTTACATTGATAAATGTCAAAAATCGATCTGTCGAATTCTAAGATATTATACAGAAACGATCCATCGATCGATTATTGAAAAGTATTTTATGCAAAACATAAAAAAAACTACTATAAACTATTGATTCCATAATTCGAGAGCTATCGTGGTCAGAGATTGGTTTTATTCAAATATATAAATTTTTTAGAAAGAAAGTTAGAGTCATTACTGCATAAGTTTACAAGCGCGTTGCCGGCCTTTATTATACTCGTATTATTCACCTTTTGGCCAGACCGAACCGCCTTCCCCTACTATTATTCTCTAGAAACTTCCACGATCTCATAGGGAAAACATAGTCATAAAAACTCTAATTGACCGTTTATATGCGTCTTTTGTAAATTCAGAGACAAATTGGGAATTGAGTCTCTATCAAATTGTATTTTGACAGCTTCAAGACAAGATCTGTGAATATATTCGCTCATACACTCTTTAAATACATCTATCCTTCTCACCTCTGTAGCGGTAGTACAGGAACGCATCACACCCAACCCTTGCGCATGCAATTGTGCCAAATGGTACAAGGCCAGCACATGACCCGACTGCGACGCAAGAGAGAAGTATTTGTTCGCCTGTTTAAAGTCACGACGGACACCTGTTCCACCTAAAAATAAATATTAATTGTACAATCTCCAGATATTAAAACCTCTCAATCGCCATAGAACTATGCTTACGATGTTTCTTTTAAAAATGGTAACCATGGCAACAACACGCTGCTATTTTTGGTCTACGTTTTCTTTCTATCTTTTATCTGATGTTACGTGATACCGCCGCCCATGGACACTCAATGCCAGAGGGTTCGCGAGTGCGGCAACGCCTTTTAATAATTGGTACGCTCTTTTCTTGAGTCCTTAAGAATTGGTTCGGAAATACTTCAGTGGGCAGCTGGTTCCACAGTGGTAGTGCGCGGCAAAAACTGCCTTATAAAAGCTCAGTTGTGGAACGACGGACGTCGAGGTAATACGGTTGGAATTTCGTATTCTACCTCGACGTCCGATGATGAAACTCATCTGCAGGTATTAATCCGAACAAACTCCTCTGAACACTCCATGGTAAATGCGGTAGAAGATGCAGAGAGGCGCCACATCTCTGCGCAACGCCAAGGGATCAAGCCGCTTGGAAAGGGATTAAGTGTTTTAAAAGACCGAAATTGGTGAACACTTTTGTTTATGTATTGTAATGTAATTTGTATTGTGTATAAGATGTACATATTTCAGACTCACAATTCACTGACCCAGAATGTATCAATTTCTTACCTAACTTACCTATAACGATTTTTGTAGTTATACTTCTTTAGGCGCGTTATGAAAAATTTATGACAGTGAAATTTTACAATGCGCGCGCACCGTGACACAAAATTAATAGAATGAAGTTGCCCACGGAAGATGCTACGGCATTGGACATAATTTAAAAACAACATTCGAATAATAATAGAATTTATGTTACACTTAATGTAAGAGAATAATAATAAATATTTATTTATTTAATTTTTCAAATGTAAACTGAACTTTATTGACTATAATGACTCCTTATCCAGTCTTTGATTATTTAATTGTAATTAATTATTTGCATGCAATCAAAAACTATTTTTAATAATGCCAAAGAAGTATAACTTCTTACGCGCGTACATAAGTACACGCACCCTTTTTTTAAATTATCATTCTCTGAAATAGAAAGCTTCAACTTACTTAAATACAGGAAACCAAGGTGCAACTGTCCTTCCATCCATCCCTGATTCGCGGACATCGTAAAGTATTTGTATGCTATATTGGCGTCTTTTGGCACGCCGCGACCCTGAAAAATATTCATAATATAAAAACCGACGACATACCGGTAATATTGGTCCAAAATCAAAGGTCCGGGCTTAATTATATTGTATTAAAACTTAATAACATCGACACCGGCTGTTACGACTATCGGTTTTTACGACTAAATAATAAAATACCTATAAAATAGCCCTTACAATAGCTAGAATTTGATTTTGAATATAATAACATTGTTTTAAAACAAACTTTATATAATTGAAAAAAATATTATTTCACTTTTTCCAGTAAAATTTGGTTCTTTGGTTTAATAACGGTTTCGAAATCAAGGTGCGATCTGAGTAGTCGCTCCGATGTCGTTAATCGTTATAACAGATTTCGACTGTATCATCTATATTATAGATTGATTTATACGTAGGGTCAAAGACTTAGCGCGAACTATGGCAACAAGTTTTCCAGTTTTTGAAAATGTACATTTAGAAGCATTTTATAAACTTTGAATTTGATTCGACCTTTGTGTATCACTCCGGATGGAGGAGGCTGACAACCTGGGTCATCGTGGTGCTTTAATAGAGGATTTTAGTTTGACTCTATATTAACCACTCGCGTACGACAATAGAATATAAGCGAAATAATAAACGATTAATTGCTATGTAATGAATGAATGCAATGTAGAGAGAGAGTGCCTTCGTCTGGCTATACTTTGGGGGCGTAACTCCGACGATTTAGAAATTCCACGCTTATAAAACTAAGAAAGCCTGAGTGAGCAAAATGTACAGCCTTGGCTCGTACAGTTACATTGTATTTTACCTACTGATAAAAGTAAAGTTTTAAGATTCATATATATGAAACTTCAATGTTCTTATAAGTTAAATAAAGGATATTGATATTCCAAATTCAATACTTAATGACATTCCGGAGCCACACTTACGACGACTGTGAACTCTGGGTCTACAATTATTTTAATATATTTTAATTACCTATAGATTATTATAGTATAAAATTAGTTGACTAAGCCTGTACAAAAGGAAAGGAATTTTTAGAATTAATATAAATGAAACATCGATGTTCTTATAAGTTTTGGAAGTAAAGGATATTGTTATTGTTATATCGAATTTAATACGTTTTAACATTCCAGTTATTTTAATTGCATTTAAATTAGTTATAGTTGTACATATTATAAACTTAGTTGACTAAGCCTGTACTTAAGAAAAGGAAGTTTTAGAAACTTATAAATAGGCTATATACCTGTAAATACATCAATCCCAGACCACTCTGACCAATTGGGTTGTTCAATTCAGCAGCTTTTCTGAAATAATGAAGCGCCGTTTCGTTGTTTGCCTTTATTCCGTCGCCTCCCTCTAAATATATCTGAAATATTTTGGCCACTGAATAATATAACAAAAATTCTTTAATAAAACAGACATAGAAATATGTAAGTTATCGGATACCACAATCCACAACTGAACGTTTTTAAGGCAATTTTTGCACCATCACAATGACAGGTACAAGAGAAACGAGTGCACCAATTAATAAAAGGCCGGCAACGCACTGGCGAGCACTCTGGCAATGTGTCTATTAATGTGTAAATTTAACAACAGGTTTCCGTTTGCCCTGTTATAAAAAATAATAATAAAAATTGAATACCTTTCCAAGATACGCATTGGCCATAGCGTTCCCAGTTTTAGCGGCTTGTTTGAAATAGTGTAAAGCTTTTTGTATATCCAGGGTCACACCGCGACCGCCTTGGAAATGTAATTGACCTAGACCGACCTGACAAAAGATTACAATTTGTTGATTAACATTCGTAAAAAAGTGCGTGCGTACAAAGTACACATGTCGGAAGTGAAACTTCTTTCGCAAACTAATTTTTAAGTTTTGTTCATATTTATACAAATCTAAAACTTTAGATTTCCGAGACTTAGAGGGAGGGAAAAAGGAAGATATGTTAGGAATTTAATGAATTTAATTGTAATTAAAATGGTAAAAGTGTCGAAAACTAATACAAATTATAAAGTTAATTTTTTTAATTTATATCGTCGATAGTAAAAATACGTGGCATTTTAATTTACAATTCATTATTTAAGATTTCAATAAATTATTTTGCATAAAATATATTTAATTATTTAAATATAAAATTAGAAGCATTTAATATGTATTTCATAAGTACATTGTGTTACCAAACTGAATATATGATTTTGAATTTTAATTTTAATTCTGCAAAAAAGAATGACGTGCCATCAAATCTTTCTTGTTCTTCAATGACTCAACGATTCCTAACGTTATACAAAATATTTTTGAGTTTAAAAGCATGCCATGACAAAGATTGAGGCATCTTAAAGGGATATTTTTAGTCACTTATGGTTTCCAAAAAGAAACATTTAAATGCTACACTTACCTGAGCCTGAACATCTCCTTTCTCAGCCAACAACTGGTAGTATTCAATAAGATCTGTATCAAGCGCAGCAGTTGGTCCGGTTCCCTCAGCTTCATCAATCAAACGTGTTCTTTGAATCGCGGGACCACCGCTAAATGTCACTTGGCTGGCCACTATTAGACATTATTTTCTATTATATAATATAATAATCTATTGCATTCATAACAATAATATTCCAGTGGTAAAACCCAGTAAAATAAAACACTATTCTATATTTTTTTATAAGTGTTCTTACAGCTGCAAATATCCTTATAAAAGAAAACACTTAAGACAAACTCAAAATATCTTTATTCATATACGTAAAAAAGTACACTTATGAACGTCAAAAAAGAAGTTAAATTAATTGTAAATTTACATTTACTACCAGTTCGCAAGTCAAGGGCGTAGAGCGGGCAAGAAGAACTGGCAATAAACTTTCCGCCAGTCTTTTTAATCGCTAAGTTTTGAGTCATACAAATTGTTTAAACTGGAACAAATCAATCCCAAGGATTAGGATCATTTAAGTTTTCGTCAAATTTATAAAAAGATTTTTTTGATTCATTTACGTTTAACGAGGGCTTACAATACACAAAACACAAAACCAAAATAGATTACATTGATTGATAAACAAAATATATGAAACTGAAAACATACATGTACTTATGGATTAAAAAGTAATGGATTAAAAAAGAAAACTGAAATAAAAAAACAACAAATTTATATTTTACTTTTGTTTCTAAATAGAAACAAAATTTACAACAAACAGTAAAATTAATAAAATAGAATACAAAATATTAATATAAAATATAAAATTTTCTTTAAATAAAATTCCCCGAGAGAAATATATCTATTGTTGATGTGTATTGTTCTGTTTATGTGCCTAATATATATTGTTGATTTAAAGGTCTATATAAGAAGGGTAATTTTTTTTTCAATGTTCATAAGTGTATATTGTGTTACCTATATGAATAAATGATTTTGACTTTGATTTGCTATCCAATTTTTTCTGTACAAACAAGTATTTGTTGTGCACATAGAACACATAATCTGGCAGGCTGCTCGATATCTATATACAATATGGAGATGTTATCTTTAACTTTAATGTTAAATCTTGTACAGATTTTATTCATCTGTTTGTGGGCTATTACAATTTCATTCATAAAATAATTGATGTAAATTGGAGAAATGTACTAAAGATTAAATTAGTTAAAGAATTATGCTATTGTTTACCCAACTATTAATTGAAGAAGAATAACCATTAAATAGTGATTTGAGACTAATAGTATGAGATAGTTTGACACTCACCTTTACTTGCAACTTTCATATATAGCTCCATAGCTTTTGGACAAGAACTTGGCACTGTTACGCCTACCCAATGTCTGTATGCAAGGGCCATCTGTGCATAATCACTTTCTCCTATAGCTCCTATAGTGTAGTGGACTAAGGCTTTCGCTTGAGACACTGGTACTCCCACACCGGTTGCATGTAGGAACCCAAGACCCTATATATATTTGTATGACATTAATGCTTACAATCATAATATAAAATTTCTTGTGTTCAGTTAGAGGCTTTGTAGCACAATTTATGTTTAAAGGAAGTATACTTTTTAAAAATTCTTAGAATTTTTTGGAAACAATTTAGTATCTAGTCCAAAAACATCGAAAATACCATGGAATCTCACAACGCAAATTCAGAAAAATCCATTATAGGTGAAAATGATAAAGCATGATTAACAAAAGTATGTTGGCAGTTTTTTTTTTTTCTCATAGTTTGGATAAAAACTTACAGCATGTGCATCAGCATTGCCCTCTTCAGCAAGTTCTGAGAATATATTCCTTGCCTTCTCAACGTCAAGTTCCATCCCTTCACCAAAAATGTATGACCAGGCCAATTTTATTTTGGCAGGTGCATATCCTCTGTCAGCCGCTTGTTTCACTTGCAAGATAGCCCCACGTAGATCTGGTGATCTTTTATCTATCTTTTTCACTGCTGAGTCGAAAAGCTCTTTTGCTGTAATATTTAATTTATATTAAACAAATATTAAAATATTAAGGAAATTAATAATTATTCATTTTCTACTTTTCCCTATTAAGACTTTTCATATTAAGTGTCCCACAAAAAACTAGAATGTTCCATAGAATAACATAGTGTCTCTTATAAAATGAAGACAGCCATTGAAGTCTCTTAGGATGGACATGTCATCAGTTACCCTCCCCTCACTCAGTATCAATAATAATACCTAAAGAGATTCTCTTTAAGCAATCAATTTACCTTCTTGTATTTCAGGAGAAAGTTCAATTTCTTCTTCTTTTGGTAGTGGGGGTAGGCTATCAAGATAATCCTGAGGATTTTCTTCTGGTCTCTGCAAACATATACAAATATTTTAAATGTAATTGGAATAATGATTTAAATATATTAATTAAGTCTTATAATAACAATGGTATTATTTCCAACATTTTAATATAGAAATATAAGTACCCCAACTTCAGTCTCTAAGGAGTCAATCATTCCTTTGGCTGCTTCCACCCAGCTTGGTTCAGTCTGTCGCAGAAGACTGTTCTTAATCAGCTTAAATGTATATTCCATTTGCTCCATGTTATCCTTTTCATTTGGTTCTAAAAAAATAAAGATAACCACAAAATGAATGCCATAGTAAATCTTATTAGAATCTTATTTCTCTCATCTTAAGAGTTATCTTAAAGCTAAATACCATGAATTACCTTTCGGATCTTCGTCTTTCAGTAATTCTTTGGATTTTCTCATAGCATCAGCGTATTCTTGAAGCATTTTGATCTCTTTTCTCATAGCTGAAGTTATTTCACTATAGTCCTCAGGTTCGTCAGTGTCCGGTGGTTCTGTAGTTTCTTCGTCATTTTTCACTTTTTTACTGGCCTCAGGACCCACTAACTCTGCACTAGCTATTATTATGCAAAAGAATAAAATAAACAATCTTAAAATTTCCATATTTCTAAAATTTTAATGGGTTGACGTGTCCTTATCAAAACACAACACTAAAGTGATAAAATGAATATACTATAGCAATAAATCGAGGTAAGCAATTAAGAGTCATTTATAGCCACTTGTTATTATACACGTGTGTTAACTCGTATAAGAATTACATTATTCTGAAATACATTTTTCATTAAAATTTATTGTAGCAAAGACCGACTTCGTATTTATAATTTTTGTGTATTTTATTCTAATCAACGTCAATGTCAAAAACAAATCATTCCATAGAACTATGTTAAAGTAATCTGTAATAGGAGAATATTCTATTAGAGACTATAGGTCTACCAGAATCTGATGGCAAAAAAATTTTTAAAAATTAGCGATTTGCATATGGCAATAAAAGAAAAAATTCATCTGTCAGGTGAAATTTCGAGGAATTGTTTTTGGTTTGGCTTCAAATTTCTTTTAAAAAGTGATGAAAATGTCGAAGAAACCTCTTCGACCGCAAGCAAGACATATTGTTTTCAATGTTTATCAAAGAATACTTGGTCAACAAGATGCAGATCATACACAATCATCGATATTGAGCCACGTGCAAGCGTTGACTGGTTAGTAGGAATGACACGTCTTGATACTTTGGTTTATGGGATTTTTCGTGTGTATTATATTATGTACTTATACTAAACTTAGGTTTATTTCAGGGGTTTCTTATACTACAAATAAACTTGGATAGTTTTGATTTAGAATTGATCAGAAACAAGATAAATGAGTTGTACACTGTTTCTTTCTCTCAAATAGGGATCGATGAATGGTGAAAATATTGTGAACATGTAATAAAAATTTAAAATCAATTCATAGAACAAGATCGGTTAATTGAGATGCAGGAGGAAAGGTTTATTATAAATACGGCGTTGAAGACTTTTTTATGGATGTGCAGTATTTGGAACCATTTTCAAGTTCTTAATTAATTAATAAACTCATGAACAGAGTAATTGGAGTTTTCATCTAAATTTCAAACCCACATTCGCCACATTTTCAAAAATTATCCTTGTTCATTGGATACATTTTTATATTTGCATGTATCAGCCGCTATAAGGAAAAAAAAAGTATCAAAACGTTTTACTCCAACTTCCCCAGTATTGCTAGCGTCAATTTCTTTTTTCCCTTTTTGCCATCAGATCCTGGTAGACCTATAGTTCATGAAACTAGTGAAATATACCGTTTGACTATTAATGCGGTGATGCTCATTTCTCGGAACGACGCCTTAAGGCCTAATCCATTTGTAGCTGGAAATACGTTGGAACAAGTGCGGCAATACAAGTATTTGGGAACAGGTTGACTTCAAATCACGAATTATTTATGATACTGTAAATAGTTCAACACTGCGCGCGCTCTGCCTTCTATCTCGAAAATGGTTCAAGATATTTAAAAAAAAAGGGTGCGTGTACTTATGTACGCGCGTAAGAAGTTATACTTCTTTGGCATTATTAAAAATAGTTTTTGATTGCAAGCAAATAATTAATTACAATTAAATAATCAAAGACTGGAAAAGGAGTCATTGACTATAAGTTCAGTTTACATTTGAAAAATTAAATAAATAATTATTTATTATTATTCTCTTACATTAAGTGTAACATAAATTCTATTTAGTTAAAAGTATATATAATTATATATTTAGAACATCTCTACCAAACACTAAGAAGTATGTTGTAGCTTTGGCAGTATTGCACAATATAAAATTAATAAATTTCTTTGAAAAATTAATCAAAACTCCTTTATTTGTTTAAAAGGTAAATGACAAATGTCATTATGGTCATTCAAAATTCTTGGCATACGAACTTCACGCATATTCTATTTCTTTTTACTTGTAGATTGTCTTATTCCTATCTCGCTCGCGCACGCTATAATCACACTCCCAATTTTGTGTCACAGGTGCGCGCGCATCGTAAAATTTCACTCTCATAAATTTTTTCATAACGCGCCTAAAGAAGTATAACTTCAAAAATGACGACACAAAACTCATAGAGAATTTAATCCTATACAATATAATATATCATAAATTTACGAGATATTTGCAATAAATGTGTAAAAATAGATTTTTTGACCTTCAACCTTGGAATATCTGTAGTCGCAAACATCCTACGATTAAAGTCAGTTTTGGGACAAGTTTTAGAATACCATAATAAAGGTTTATACAAGTTTATAGCCGACTATCTTTCATTCCGAGGTGAAACCTCTAATCTTCCTGGACTATATGGTTTATAACTTTCGTTAAATATAATTAAAAATCATTCATCAATCATTTCTAGAGAAAGTCCCCGTATGTGACTTTGACAACTTAGAATAAAATCTAAAAAATTATAGTCCTAGTCTGTGTCGCCAGGTCGCGAGCCTTAAATTTTGCAAAACGTTGCAAAAATTGAAAAACATTTCCGTACATAATACATTTCTCGAATCGAATTTTCATTACGAAAAAGTCTTAATATAAATTAAACTTCAAATAACAATTTCTCACTAGCTCTACATAGAATTTCATTGTATTAAGCAAGAATGCTGCGGACACCGGTCAGACGATTTCGAAGTGATATTTCGCGAAAGCCTTATTTTTTACGAACAAAATCGTCTAGTGCTTACTTAAGGAAAACATTTATAGATTATTTTATTGAAAATCACGGACATAAACATGTTAAATCAAGTTCGGTTATACCACTTTGTGATCCTACGGTACCGTTTGTAAATGCTGGCATGAATCAGGTACTCACAAAAACTATTACTTTTAATTAATTCCTTATTTATTTTTAAAATATTATATAAAAAAGTCTACAACGTTTTATAGTAAAAATAGTTGTAATTTGTTCACATTTACAGTGAAAAATTTATCATAATTTCCCATCCTTTAGAATAGGGAATAAGGTAAACTTTAATGAATATTTACAACATTTCAGTTTAAAGGTGTATTTCTGGGCATGGTTGAGCCACCTTGTTCTCGAGCAGTAAATTCACAAAAATGTGTGAGAATTGGTGGAAAACACAATGATTTGGACTTAGTTGGACTGGATGGCACTCACCATACTTTTTTTGAGATGCTTGGCAATTGGTCATTTGGTGATTATTATAAGGTACATAATTTTTTTTATTTGCTTAGTATGCAGAATAATTAAATGTTTGTGTTTTAGTAATTTAGGAAAGATTAATAAATAACAAACTATCAAATCTGTTACTTTAATACAATAAAATATATATTGTAATAATTACCATTAGATACTTTTAGTTGATATCGATTTAATGTTAACTTAAGCTTTACTCCTTATAGAAAGACGCCTGTAAAATGGCCTGGGATTTGTTATTGGGACCATATAGATTAAAACCTGAGAACCTGCTTGTCACATACTTTGGTGGTGATGTTGTTATTGGACTCACAGAGGATAGGGAATGCAGAGATATATGGAAAGAAATTGGGTAAGTACATAAATATTAATGAATGTTATTAACTATTTGTCGCTACTTTTTAATTTTTGTTTAATTTAAGGCTTTTAAAGGTTAATTCCATGCAAAAATTCTACTATATAAATGTTTTCTGAGTGTAGGTAGCACACTCATAATTGTGAATATGTTTATTTACATTATAACATGTCACTAGTATTTTAAAGTGCTTTTACACTTCAGGGTCAAGGCAAGTCATATCAAAGACTGTGGTGCAAAAGACAATTTCTGGGAGATGGGTGTGAGTGGTCCATGCGGACCATGTACAGAGATTCATTACATACATCCTGATGGAAGTCTTACTGAGATATGGAATATTGTATTTATTCAGTGTAATAGGTAAGTAGTATTAAATAGATTTGTTGGCATGCTTATATTGGCCAAAGTTCCTGCAATGAGTCCTGCAGAGTAGTGACGTTTCAATGTATTCTGTTCAGATCAACTTTTTGTGCCTATGAATCTGAAGTAATTTTTACTTCACAGAGAATTAGACCTAAGTAAGTAATATGATATGTTAATTGAACACTGAATGAAGAAGGATGACCCCTAATAATAGTTCTAAAGTAATTTAGGACTTTTCCACTAACTAAAATTAAACAAAGAAATCACATCATACTTAACTATACACTTAAGATTAAATTCAATTGCAAAGCTTGAAGTCTTTTAATGGCAAAAAAGTTGTATAAACTATTCTTCCTTAGTCATAGCATAAACACCACTTGGGATCTAGGCATTGTCCCTCATTCCAACCATAATTATAACATAGTTGTTCACAAAACCAATTACTTATCTTCCCATCCTTGGGTCGTATCAATTCTGCTTCAGCCCTTTCGTAGTGATATTTAGAACATTCTGCAATATTTAAAAAGTCATTTAAATGAAATGTTCCAATTTAGTGAATTTGTTATTAATTTTGCTTATCAAGGTAATTTCAATCTTAAAGCGTTTCTGTCACTTAAGAAGAAAAATATATATTATGACTTACCAGTTCTTGAAATAAATAGTATTGTTATTAAAATAAAATACAAGTGTTTATTAACTGGCATTATTTGTAATAGAAAGCAGTTAATATTATGCCATATTTATTTTACATTATATCATACTAATGTTTGGAATTCATAGGTATTCAAACAAAAATGTGAAATGGGGTTTTTAAATTTTTCTATAACAAAGTAACACAATATGCTAATAAAGATTTGTGTTAAAATTGTTCACTGATAACAAAATATATTAAAACATATAATAAAAGTTTTTTCAAATGTAGAGGAGTACTATAATAATTATTATCAATTAATGTTCATTATTGAAGTTATACTTCTTTAGGCGCGTTGTGAAAAATTTATGAGAGTGAAATTTTACGATGCTCGCGCACCATGACACAAAATTAACAGAATGAAGTTGCCCACGGAAGATGCTACGGCATTGGACATAATTTAAAAACAACATTCGAATAATAATAGAATTTATGTTACACTTAATGTAAGACAATAATAAAAAATATTTATTTATTTAATTTTTCAAATGTAAACTGA